GACAACAATTTGTGGATCACACAAAGTTCTGAGTCTGGGTGTTCTTTGTGTCCGTTTCATGTATGTTTGTAAAGTCCCCCGCGACACAGGTATATTCCTAATGCTTTTTAGAAGTTGCTGCGTTGTCTTTTTAGAAAAAAACGGGTAGTCGGGCCTGATGGAAAGTGACTACCTCCGCCCAAGAGTGTTTGTAAAGTTCCTAGCGACACAGAATACTTTTAATTAATAATTACTTCCTAGTGCGGTAGTTTTCTTTAAAAATAAATGAAAGTCTGGCACCTGTATAGATAATTCTAAGTAGGTACACAGGAGTGTACCGCAAGGCGAGCTTAGACTAAAGTGTGGACAGGGCCTTATAGTGCAAGTGTTTAGTATTAATTAAATGTCACATCATTTGATTTACAAGAACCGGGATTTTTTTCGTTCGCGTATCAGACACCAAAAATAGATTTTTGTTGGGATTGGTTACCAAACACATAAAATATTTTGTCTGTATCAACAACAAATAAAGTCTAATATATAAAAATCTCGTGTGACAATTTTAGTTACCATACTCCTCCGAAACGGCTGGACCGATTTTTTAAAATTTTGTGTGCACATCGGGTAGGTCTGAAAATCGGCCAACATCTATTTCTCATACCAGTTTGTATATTTCTTAGAAATAAAGTATACCTATGGCAAAACAACGTTTGCCGGTCACATCACACACATCACATCAACAGCCTTTAATAGTCAACTGCTGGACATAGACCTCTCCTTAGAACGGAGTGGCCTACTATACCACGCTGGCCAGACGAGTTGGTAAAGGGTTTGTGTCAAGTTTTCCTTCTTTTTACAGTGCTGGTGTCCTGCATTGTTTTGCGCTCTTAGTCGGCTCTTACGACACCCACGGGATGAATTGTGGCAGTGACATTCCGTATTCTTAATCTGTCACTACACGGAGTAAAATATAATGTTGTTTAAAAACAGGCACAAAGAATTTTCTTCGAGTAGGTTAATACCGTTACGTTATCACAAATATGGCCTTCGTTCAGCAATGGACGGCTGAGGTAGGTATAAGACAGATTGGGTCATACTTTGACCCAATCTGGCTGTCACATTCATATTCCTTACAATTTTTTAAATGATAGATAGATAGATAGATAGATAACTCTTTATTTGCACACTAAATTACAGAGTTTCAAGAAAGGAACACAACGATCGAATATCGAGTGTACAAAGGGCGGCCTTATTGCTAAATGCAATTTCTTCCAGGCAACCTTAGGATGGATCAAAAGTTGCAGAGAGACAGTAGTAGTTGAATTGTTGTGAACCTACTATTTGTTTACTATTATCCACTATACATATTACATATACTACACATATCATATTATCTACAAACATTTACAATTTTTTATACTTACATCTACAATGCATATCACAATAAATAAACCTACATATATATAAGTACCCACATACTATACCAGCAGATATACATATACACATACATATATATATACGCATTCTTAAATGAATAAACATATAGAAAAGAGAAACAGTTTCGTTACACCCTCAAGCGTGATGGACTCTTAAGGTGAATAAAATTCCTGTACCATTTTCTTGAATCTATTTAATGTTTGCGCCTGCCTGATGTTAAGCGGCAGTGCATTAAACAAGCGCACAGCTTCAACAGTGAAGGATTGGTCATAAAATTTGGTGGAATGCAGTGGCATCTCCAGTTGTAAACTTACGGATGACCGCAGACATTTTTCGTGTGTGTCATTAAGGAACTTGAATCGTTCTTTGAGGTAGAAAGGGGTTTTGGGATTAAACAAAATGTAGTAAAGGAAAATAAGGATATGAGTATTCCGGCGAGAGCGAATTGGAAGCCACTTGAGCATTTGACGGAATTCAGAGACGTGATCGTATTTTCGTAAACCAAATACGAATCGTATACACATATTTTGTAGTCGCTCAAGCTTATCGAGTTGTGCTTCAGTGAGATTCAGATAGCTGACATCGGCATAGTCGAGAATTGGGAGGAGAAGTGCTTGTGCAAGCGCAACCCTAGTTGCAGTTGGAAGGAATTTGCGTAGTCTTCGAAGAGAACCGGCTGAAGCAATCAGCCTGGGGTTGCCGATAACACACACCTGTGTCTTCTTAGGATTAATCATAAGTCCATAGTTATAACTCCACTCGCCAATGCGTTGAAGGTCAGCGTTAATTATGTTGAATGCATCCGATAACATGTTAATCGGAGCTTGTGTATATATTTGCAAATCATCTGCATAAAGGTGGTAGAAGGAACTTAGTTGATTAGAGATTGAGTTTATAAAAACAGCGAAGAGTAAAGGAGATAGAACGCCACCCTGCGGTACACCAGCAGAAATACTGCACCAAGAGGACATGGAGTCATCAATGCAAATCCGTTGCCGGCGACCAGACAGGTAACTATGAAACCAATCAATTGTCCTTGGAGATATGTTAAGAGACCGTAGTATGCCAAGCAGAATGTGAAAATCCACAGTATTGAAGGCATTGCTAAAATCAAGTAAGGTGAGAACTGTGATCTTTCCACTATCCATGCCTAGTCTGATGCTGTCTGTAATGTGTACCAGCGCAGAAGTAGTGCTATGGCCAGGGCGAAATCCGGATTGGAAGGGGTTCAGTAGAGAATTTTTGGAGAGGAAGTTAGTCAGTTGAGAGTGGATGAGGCGTTCAAGTACTTTGGATAGGAAAGGTAAAATAGATATGGGCCGATAGTCAGAAAATGAAGAGGGTTTAGTTTTTTTTGGAAGAGGGATTACTTGGGCATCTTTCCATGCAGATGGAAAAACACCGCTTGTGACGGAGTGATTAAGGATATTGCATAGGATAAGTAGAATTTCGTCAAGGATAGGTATAATCATATTTCGGCTGATGCAGTCACTTCCCACTGCGTTGGATGAGATCGCCAGAATGGTCTTCCTAACATCACAAGCGGACAACTGATCAAAGACGAGAGGTGGATAGTTGGGAGTTGGGGTAGTAGAAATATATCTAAGAGTATTAGCTTTTGTACTGTCACTAATGTCAGACGAGGCAGAGAAATGTTTATTGAGTAAGTCAATGTTGACATTTTTGGGAATAGGCTCTTGGCGAGACCTCCCGACTCCCAATGTTCTTAGAAATTTCCAGACTTTTGCTGGATCTCCGTTTTCTACGGAAGAGTGGATATGTTGGCGTTGTGCGTTTCTACACATCTTATTGCAGAGATTTCTCAGGTACACATATTTTTCCAGGTTCGCTTCGGTTGGTCGACGCTTGTATTTGCTTTTCGCTATACATTTCCTGGACATAATGCTGCGTATCTCCTCAGTAAGCCATGGAGCCGGTAAATGTTTAAGTTTTATTGATCGCAAGGGTGCGTGGACGTTATAGAGCTGTATCAAGTTATCTGTGAATATTTGGACTTTATCATTAACACACTGCGAATTTAACAAATTGTTCCAGTTGATGTTTCGCGCATCTTCCTTAAGTCTGTCAAGATTCATCGCGCCAAAATTACGCTGCACAAGAATTCTCGGCTTTGCCTTGGGTGGTCGGATAGCATAAGAGAGAAATATCAAGTCATGATAGGAAAAAGCATCAGCGGAATACTGACCATGGCTGATGACATGATCAGTAGAAGAGACTAGGATAAGATCAAGAAGAGAGGGAGTGCAGTTAGGGAAGTGATGTGTAGCATCAAGTGTTAAGAGTGATAAGTTATTACAGTCCACAATTCTGCGTAGTGAAGAAGAGCGATGGTCATTTTTCATCAAGCAGATATTGAAATCGCCCATTATTAATGTGTGGCTATAAGAGGGAGATAAGTTTTCTAGTAATTTTTCAAAAGAGGAAAAGTAATTAGTACGTAACGAGGGAGAATAGTAAACACCAAGTAAAATCTTCTCATGATTAATTACTAGTTCTATAAAGAGGTGCTCGCCAGCGTCCGGTGATGGGGGCTGTGACGACATGTTTACAATGGTAAAGGGAATGTGCTGTCGCAGATATATGCCAACACCCCCCCCACCACCGTTGCCGTAGTAGTAAAAAAGAATGATGCCGTAGTAGTAAAAAAGAAATGACTGCACGGATGGCGTAGTGGTTCAAGCGGTCACCTCACCGCTTCCTACTGCGTTGAGTGTTGTGGGTTCGATCAGCACATGGGAAAACACTATGTGTTCCACAAATTGTTTTTCTGAGTCTGGGTGTCCTTTGTGTCCGTTTCATGTATGTTTGTAAAGTCCCCCGCGACACAGAATTATTCCTTTTCCTAGTGGGAGTTTAAAAAAAAGTAGCAATTTTTATTCATTACATCGATGCTAAATGAAACAAGCAGCCAGCTATTCTGATGCACACCACTGGAACATTACACACATGGCACATACAAAATGTCAATGACAAATTAAAGCCATCGTAGAAACCTGCAGGTAACCATCGCTCTTTGAACAGTTCATAGAATAATAACGTCACAGATCTCTCACACGGCCGTCTGATCTCAAACTAGGCAGAGCCTGCTCTATGGCAACCAGACTACTGATAAACATGCTTATATCTTTCTTAATAGTTACCTATTTAAATTACTCCGTGTGGTGACAGATTAAGAATACAGAATATCACATCCTATTCATCCCGTGGGTGTCATAAGAGCCGACTAAGGAAGCAAACTACGCAGAACAGCACTGCAAAGAGAAGGAAAACTTGAAACAAACCCTACATCAACCCATCTGGCCAGCGTGGTATAGTAGGCCAAAACTTCATTTCTAAGGAGAGGCCTATGTCCAGCAGTGGACTGTTATAGGCCGTTGATGATTGATGATATAAATTACACCACACAAAGCTGATCGTGCTCATCACACAATTATTTGTCCTGGATGGCAATCGAACCCATGGATCCCTATGGCGGGAATAAGAACACTCAAGCAGAAATCAAACAATTTATTTCACGGTAACTTTGATACAAAAATCAAACATATATTGAAAACTAATTTCTTTTAAACATATATTTTCGTCTCGTCGCATGTACCTCTTGATTTGACTTCACTCTCCTTGAGAAGTTCTAGAAAATCCCTGCAATCCATACTAATATTATAAATGCGAAAGTGTGTCTGTCTGTACCTCTGTCTGTCTGTTGCCGCTTAAACCGCTGAATCGATTAAGATGAAATTCGGTATAGAGATAGCTCGAGTCCCGTAAAGGACATTGGATAGGTTTTATCAGAGAAAGCATCCTTGAAAGGGAAGTTGAATTCTTTAAAAAGGACATTGGCTACTTTTAACCGCAATAACTAAGTAATCTATAGGTTTTAAAATTACTTGACCTGACTGAATGATTCCCCAACGCAGAGCCTCAACTGTTGGGACTGCAAACTTGAAATTTTGCCAGGTTTTTATGTTATAAGTACCCACTAAGAAAAGGTTTTTGGAAATTTTAGGCCTAAGGGTGGGAAACGGTTGTATGGAATTTCGTCATTTTCAAAGTTAGAAACGCTTAATAAGAAATAATCAGCAAAGATGCGACACTAACTTTTAAACTTTCGCATTCCATGATAATTAATATTATTTAACGGGAATTAACGCGATCTCTTCGCGTTAATTCCCGTTAAATAATATTAAAGATGCGACAATTGCTAGCTTAATCATAAAATTTACTACCAGGACCCATAAGAACTTGATCCATTATAAAAGACGTACCCAGCTTTTGGCCCAGGGGCGAATCGTCCCGGGTTCAGCTTGGGGACAAGAGTCTAATACACATTTATCATTATGATCATCATTATTACAGCCATAAGATAACCATTACTGTTCATCAAAAACTTTGTGTGTATGGGAGAGAAATACTTTGGCAAGGCTCCAGCAGGGAGTCATGGGCCAGCTCGACCCGAGACCTCTTCCCTTATTTCCGCGGGGCTTCAGTTGAGATGCAGTTGTCCATGGGCGGTAGTAACTTGCCATTAGGTGACCAGTCAACTCGCTTGCCCCCCAATATGAGCATGACACGCATAAGTAAAACAATATACATACTCAACGACATTCTTCAGGTTCGGCGCCTCACAGATGTTGTTGTGCCCCAGTCCAAGACCTTTCTCGAACGAGTGGAAGACGAGAGGTCCGTCCTCAGGACTTCGTGATGCCGCTATCTGCTCATGGAGCTAGGGTAATAAGGATGAAGTATTTACTGAGGGATTTTAATACAAAATTAGAAGGAAAATGTAGTTTTAGATTTTAGGGGGATACAATATATAGGGATTTCTTCAGGAGTTAAAACTTAAATCGTTTTGGTATTCTCCAAATATTAAAACTCATCAGTTCCTCTTGATTCTCTGTTTGTCTATATTCCTCTAGTTTCGGCAACATTACTCTAGTATGAAAGCAGTCTCTTGGAAAAAGAAAAATCTCCCACCTTGACAGCCAGACTGAACGGTACGATCTTGTCTCCCTTGGAGTGCAGCATGAGGATAGGAAGTTTAGGCACACAGCATAAATACTGATCAGTGTTGAACGCGTACTCTGATGAGGCAGTAAATGGCTTCACGAATGTGTCCTTGTAGTACGGAAGCCAGGAAACAAGCTAGGAACAGGCAAAATCGTAAATACTAGCTGGTAACAGCTTTTGGTCATCACCACAAAGACCATGCTCAATTAACAGCCTTTAATAATCCCCATGCTGGACATAGGACTGCCCTTACAAAGGAGGTTTCGGCCTACTATACCACGCTGGCTAGATGGGTCGGTATAGGGTTTGTATCAAGTTGTCCCTCTCTTTGCAGTGCTATCGTCCTGCGTAGTTTTGCTTCTTTAATCGGCTCTTACGACACCCTAGGTATGAATAGAGGTGGTGACACTCCGTGTTATTAATCATGGTACACGGATAGTATTCGATCTCTCTCTATATCGTATTCTATATTGTGAGAGAAATTACAGAAAGAGTGAAAAGAATAAGTGAGTGAAACTTAAATTAAACAGGGTATACCTTAGAGAATGGATGCCCCTCAATCTCATCCAAGAGATTATTGAACGGCGCTTCTAAAACCACTGCGTCAGGCAGTGGCAGGGTTGAGCGACCTTGCTCCGCGCACAGTTTTTCCATGTGAGCAACCATGTTGGCTGCTACAGCTGTACCTGTGGTGAAGATACCATCAAAACCTTAGAAAAGATCTATAGGGAATCCATAGACATTTTACTCCCATAAATAAACTTTTATTTCCGTCACCATCCTCAGACGGAAATATCCAGCACCAAAGTACTTGCCAAAGAGTCAAAACTCGATGGGTTTATCTTGTTTAGGTAAGAAGTTCCTATGGCCGTCTTCTGGTTTAATTAGACAAGTAATGGTACCATCCATTGATGTATTATCACTGAAGATACCTACATATGTACACTAACTACACTAACTAAAGGCGACAAACTTGAACTCAGCAATTATAGACCCATTACATTAATACCGATCTTGTCAAAAGTATTTGAGAAAGCGATGCATAAAAGGCTGACTACGTACCTAAATAGGTTTAACTTTATAAAAGAAGAACAAAATGGGTTCCAGAGAGGCAAATCAACTACACTAGCAGCTTTTCAATTAATCTACAATGTCCTGAAAAATGTAGACACTAAAAAACCTACAATAGTAATATTCTTTGACATGACAAAAGCCTTTGACCATGTTTCGCATCAGCTGCTACTTGAAAAACTTGAGAATTACGGAATTCGAGGCCCAGCACATGAATGGATTAAATGTTACCTGAAGAATCGCGAACAATGTGTGGATATAATTAAAAATGATAATTCAGTGATCACTAGGGAGAGGTCCACACTTTTAACTAACAAATATGGGGTTCCTCAAGGAAGTATATTGGGACCATTACTATTCTTAGTCTATATTAATGACTTACCAGACATTACTACTCATAAATGTATATTATTTGCTGACGACATTTCAATTATATTGACATCTAAAATTGGTACAAATTATGACATTGATATTAATAACACAATAAAATCCGTAATAGAATGGCTAAAAAATAATAACTTAAATGCTAATCTTTCCAAAACCAATTTCATACAATTCCAAACACAAAGCTCAAAACTAAATCTTAGAGAAATAAGATATGGCGATACTGTTATAGAGGAAACGGAATGCGTTAGGTTTCTAGGATTATCATTAGATAAATATTGTAACTGGAAGACACACGTCGATTCAGTCTGCAAAAGAGTTAATAGTTTTGTTTACGTGCTTAACCGACTAAGAAAAACCGCTACTCAGCAGACAGTACTTCTCGCCTATCATGGTCACGTAGGTTCTGTATTGAGATACGGTCTATTGTTGTGGGGAAACTCAGTAGATGCTACCCGAGCGTTTTTATCCCAGAAGAGATGTGTTCGGGCTATGGTGGGCATTCCTCCTTATGAATCTTGCAAACTTTATTTTAGAAAATATGAAATATTACCGTTGCCCTGTTTGTACATCTTTGAAGTAAGTGTATTTGTTAAAAGTAACCCTAGTCTATTTAAAAAGGCAAAAGATATGTTCCCACGCAACACTCGGGGCAGTGAAAGACTAGTCCTGGATTTTGTTCCCAGAACTACACTGTTCCAAAAAAATTGTTATAATATGTGTATCAAAATATTTAATAGCTTGCCACCAACCATAAAGGCGTTGCCCCTACTGAAATTTAAAAGTAAATTGAAAACATGGCTTTTGGAAAAAATGATATACTCAGTGACCGAATACCTAAACGAGCGATAAATACAAAAGCACTTGATAATATTTTATTGTATGTTGTGTTCTATATTAGAAATAAATTATCGGATTAAAAAATTTGACATTGCAATTATATATTTGACATTATGTAAATTGTTTATTGACATGAGCTTAGTAGTTTGTTATAAAACCAATCTGTTGTTGTAATATGCATGTACGTTTTAAATTTTGCATGTCAGAACAGACTGACGAAATATGTGATTCTCTTCTAATAACTATAAACAGCCCATGTACCATATTTCTGCAATTAAATTATCATTTCATTTCATTACTAAATGAAAGCCCAATTAAACATCGGTAGTGGTTTTAATGTAGCTACCAAAAATCGTGCCAAACACACATCCATACTAATATTATAAATACGAAAGGGTGTCTGTCCATCTGTTATCTCTTCACGCTTAAACCGCTGAATCGTTTTAGATGAAATTAGGTATGGATGTAGTTTGAGTCCCGGGAAAGGACATAGAATAGTTTTTATTCCAGAAGGGGGTGAAAAAGAGGGTGGAAGTTTGTATGGGGAATCAATAACCGCTAAAAAGATTTTACGAACTTAAGATGTTAGGTATGGAGATAATTTGATTCTTTAGGAAGGACATAGGCTAGTACTTACTGCGATAACTTACATGCATTCGCAGCCAATAGTCAGTAGCAAGACCTAAGCTCCCAACCAAAAATACTTTGACACTAAAGGACGTCTGGCTTTTGGGGGGTAGCCAATTCCAATCTGAGATTCTGATTTAGTACTGCTTTCGTCACATTTTGCAAGAACAAGAAGAATGTCTAACTAACCCAGTGAGTGTCCCCATACCAAAATCTGTGGCCTGTTGTGTTCGTCAAGAGAGTCATGCAGCCAGCCGTATACAGCTAGAGCGTCTTCAACGACGCCTTGCTCCGTGGGCCTTACGCGAGTGGAGTCTCCGTAACCTGCGATAAGTGAAAAGGACGTGAATGACAATGTTTTAGATGAGAAGAAGTTCTGCTTTTTGAAAGGGCCTGTTGGTCTAGTGGTTAGTGACCATGGCTGCTAAGCTAGAGGTCGTGGGTTTAATCCCAGGACTAATTATTGTGTAATGAGCACGATCATTTGTTCTTTCTGACTTTAATTTATCTATAGTATGTATGTATTTACAAATATATAAGTATGTTTATCAGCAGTCTGGTTCCATTGTACAGGCTTCAAGTTTGGGATCAGACTACCGTGTGTGAGATGTGTGAACTTATTATTATTTGAAAGAAAACAACCATCAGAAGAATTAACCTGCTGGTTTTCTATTTTAATTTTGGGCCAGAACAATATGCAGCATTGCAAATGCTTTTAATTTGGCCCTGCTGCTAGAAGTCAACCCTCTTTACGAATGTAACAGTTTTGAAGAGTGTCAAAGGAAGAGACTAAATTTGAGTAAGACAACGAGTAGTGGGAGGGAGCTAGAGAACAGGAAGGTACACCGCAAACCCATGCCTAATACTCAAGCAGTTCGGTTTACAAGCTTCATGTTATAATTTGCATGAATTCTTTGTTTTAAAACAAAAGAAATAACGAGAATAACAAATTTGATTGAAAACCTCTGTAGTCAAACGTTATGACGTGGAAATTCAGCTCCTGGAAAACTTTATACATCTGCAGACGATGAGGAGACGCACGGTGATTGGAGTTGCCTGGAAAATATTGTATAATTAGGGAAATGATACTTGCTTAAAAAAGAAGGCAAAACTTGTCACAAACCCTATACCAACCCGTCTGGCCAGCGTGGTATAGTAGGCCAAAACCTCCTTTCTAAGGAGAGGCCTATGTCTAGCAGTGGACTGTTAAAGGCTGTTGATGTGATGTGATGATGTGAAAGTATGTCTAATCTAGCTACGTAAAATAATATTTATAATTTTAACATTATAGTATTCATTGGCTTTAAAATCTTTTATTATATTTCTACAATCTATTTGAAACAAAACTCAAGCTATTTAATCCTACGGTAAGTTGAACTATCACTTTACAGATGGAAAAAGATACCTACTGGAAGTGAGTGTGTGTCTACAGCCATTTGAAATTATATTTAAATATAAAACACCATTTTTAATAATTTTAGGCTTTGCTTAGCTTGTCACAATTTTATAATCCTCCATCTCGAAATTTACTTCGATGTGTCTATCACACACAGCATTGTCCTGTTAACTCCTAAGCCTCACGAATAGACGAATATTACACCTCGCCTAGGGAGAATAGTTCGCTCTTGGTAATTTGTGCGCGTATACTAGCTAAGCAAAAACTGTCAGGCGTAGTAATATTTTTAAATAACGATCTTACCGTGGCAATATAATACAATGGTATTCTGAGTTTTCTTCAACTCCTCGTGAAGACGATCGTCCACCCTCACGTAGTCTCTTATAGCGAACACGTCACAAAACATCGAACACGGGACGATGTGCCACGCACCTTGAAAATCAAACACTTATAAAGAAACACCGTTGAACATTGATTTTGATTGAAGCTTTACAATCATTCACGAAACAAGCTCAGACTCAGAGCAACAAGTTGTGGATCACACAAAGTGTTGTCCCATGTAGGGATCGAACCCACAACACTTAACGCAGTAGGAAGAGGTGAGGGCACCGCTTAAATTACTACGCGTGCAGTCAATTCAATCAATTCTTTGAGGTAAAACAGAGCGCCATCTAACATTAACCATTACCTACTTGTAGAGTTTTAGAACACGGGTATAATTTAGAGAAAAAATGGTATCTAGTTTCTACATAGCAAGCACCTAGACCAAGCAATACACATAACTCCGGCTAAGTTACGTATATTGCCACAGGACGGACATGGTAGTCAAAACATTGCGGTGATCACCTTGCAATTAGGCAATCGTCAATAAGCAATTTACAAGTGTAACATTTTTGATGTTGAAAATAAAGTATATTGCTTTATATACTTGTACAGGTCAGTTAGATTGTACACTGTAGGATAGTAGTTGAGTAGTTAGTAGTCTATTGAGTAATCCGGAAAAGACTGGCAAACGTAATAAGTATATTTAAGTATATATTAGGCTGTTGATGATGATGATGATGATATAAAAATGTATAGAGTAGCGATTCTTTCCTGGATTGTGCTTTGTCAGTCTAATAGTTGGTGGCGTACTAACTTATAAAGTATTAATTAATGTATTTATAACAATAATAACGCTCAGCTAAATCTATATGTAAAAAGTAAAAACTATTTACTATACAAATCGAGTGATGGCAGTGATACACAAACGACCTGTGGTTTTGTTCACTGTTACTGTATTTACATGAAATGTAACCTTGCACCACGAATAAATAATTAAAAAAAAATATGTTTATGATAGTGAGATCGTACAATACTTCTGGCACTAACCGTCAAAATGATCAGATCAGTAGTTAGGGTGTGAGAGCTTAACAAACATACTCACATTCGCATTTATAAAATGTTTGTTCTTTGAGAAACTTATTTTATACAGATACTAAATGCGACTACAAGCTTTTACTATAAATACAACATAGCTAGCTAACTGCGTATAGGTCTACATAGCGCTGTATAATAATGGATCACTATATATTAGCCGCTTAAAGGTTATTATAACCATTACCCAGTTTAATGTGACAATTATCGGCTGCCGACTCGAACTCAACAAAGAAATTTCTCCCACCGACTACATTGCAGCTGGAGGGGTTCTCGTAGTCCAAATTCCGGGGGTAATTTACTGAAAATATTTCATAAGTTAGAAGGTGACCAAATATTAAGTACCAAATACGTTTATAAAAAAGATGCTGTACTAAAAAAGGGGCGGACTCAGATTGTAACTTAGAGGTAATTTTTATCCAGATTACCTATTTAAAAATATTTAACTAGATTCAGCTCAAGGGGAAATCAGATTTCCAATTCAATTCCGCACTTGACTGCAAATAAGACTGGTAGGTATATTTTATTGGTATAATTATGACCTGTCTGAAATGTTTCCTCCCTTACCAATAGGCACCAGCCAGCTGGTACATATTAGCAATAAAAAATGAATAGGTTGACCAATTATATGTTATGACAGTTTTATGCTGGTCATTTTAGTATTATAGGCATTAATTAGCCTTCGAGATTTTTGTAAAAGATCTAGCGCCTAAATTAAATACACGAGCAATCATTTACAGCAATATCACTCTCATACCAAAAAAAATGGGCAGGCGTTTCCTTTACTTCTTGGTATTGTTAACTTTTCAAATCTAAATAAGTACCTACCTAAAAAGTTACGCTTTTTAGGTACAGAAGGGAGCCCGTGATGCTAAATGGGGATTTGAAAGATTATGTAATATAATGAATAAAAGTTTTATAATGTTTCCACTTTCAGCGGTAGGGAAAGCTTCTACAGGTTTTCGAAAATGTAAGGGGAGGTAATCGAAAAAAATATATTCGGGCTCATCAGATATTTTGGGGATATGTTATTTGAAAGCAAAATGCTCCCATTGAAAGGTCTGACGATTTTAAAGTGACACAAGCTCGTAGCGAACCATTGAAAAAAGAAACTACAAATTCGAAAAATCGCCATTTCGAGAGCGTGTTAGATTTTATACAGACGATTCAGCTTGATGCGCCTGTGTCATGCTAGCCTAAAATCTGATGACAATTTTGTAGGTTATTTTAAATCAGTTTGACGGTTAAAACATTTTTGTTTTTTGATTTCTTACAAAATGTGACAAATATAAGCACGAAAAATTATGTAGACATTTAAAGAACATTCTTGCATAGTTTTCATCAAAATAAGAAAAAGCAAGGTCATGTGTTTTTTTTTGGGACCTTTGTGACCCTCCCACTGCCTTATGTCACGCTAAAATCGTCAGTATTTTTTTAAATATACACTTACGTTACATACATATACGTGACCACGTCTTCAAGTTAACGCAACTTACCTTAATCTTACACGCTCGAGTATTTCTGCTCTTGGATTTTTTTTAACTAATCTGATGGGCTGCCATAGACGCTCGTCCCTATATGTAGGGCCCAAATATGGTGGAGGGGTGATATAACTGGGTGTAAGGTATTCCTCCTCTGTTAATCTGACACGTTCGAGTAAATCGCGAAATAACTTCTTGGGCTTCCCTACTAATACTGATTATGGCCATAGGGGAGAGTGGGGTAATTACGAACACTTAAGGGGAAATTGAAATTAAACAAAACCAGATTAAGTTACGAATGTCATTTATTACTTAACATTTACTTTAACTAATGAACCTTAAGTTCTGATAAGCAACATAGATAAACTTTCAATACGGAAACGAATATTAATAAGAAAACAAAACTATGGGGTTCGGGATTACCCCACAACACGGGGGGTAATTACGAACGGTGTGTGGGGTAATCACGGACATAATCTAATCATCACACAAATCACATATAAATCCTTTTGATGAACTTTCACCACTCGTACACTTTTCATGGGCCTATAAATTACATCTGTAGCATTTTATCCAATCTTCATGTGGAGGATCTTGATATTTTTCATCACAAACTAAGCAAAAATACTCATTTTTTTTCGCATCTCTTTCTTTGGTTTTCTTTTTCTTACGCAGTACGTCCTTTTCTTAAACCTTTATCTTAATATCAGTATCTGCAAATGCTTGACGATTCTTCACACCTTTCTTGGAATCTTTAGTGGAACTAGCAGCCTTTTCCCTTCCTTTCATGTACTCCTTATTTTTCTTTCTTTCTTCTTTTTCTTCTAAAATATTTTTCATATGACTACTGGTTATTATAGCTGAATGTTTTTTTTTCTGAAAGTTCGTTTATTTTTTAGTTGTGGCATTTTGGGAACATTAACAATATCTTCAAGTGGGATAGAATTGTCTAACACAGCTTCAGAGGTTACTGGTTTCTGCTGCACATAATTTAATGTCGATAGTATATGTGTATCAGGTTTTACTCTTTCTTCGCCATTTGATGTTGATGCTATCATCTATCACATCAAGTGTCAACGCTTTGTCAGCTTGAAAATTGACACTGGAATTTTCAGGTGGTAATGATGCATCTACAAAATGTTTATCAAATTTATTTGGATCTATTGGCCAAACTGCTTTTCCTAGTGAAAGTTTTTTGTTCTTAACAACCCGAATGGCTCTTTCTAAGTCTTCTAATTTGTATTTGGTCTCCGTCTTTCTTTGGTAATTTCGTGGCATCTGAAACATATTTGAGTAGGTATAAATAAGCTCGTGAGGGTACAGTGCTGAAAGCAGAGAAACATAAAAACAAACTTCCTCAAATGTATTTCATCAAAATTCATCATTATTATCATGCTGCAGACTGCTGGACATAAATTATAAAATAAAAAACAATAATTTAATTGTTCAGGGGTAATTACGAACGGTCGGGGTTACCCCACTGAAATCGTCCGTAATTACCCAACAGACACGTTATCACAAAACTATTTTTTTTTTTTTAGGTTAGAATCGCGTTATACACGCGGCAAGTCCTTAGAAACATTCTTGAATTAAGACGTTAATAATTAAAAAAAATACCGAATTTCTATGTTACACCTAAAATATTATATATCTATTCAATTTTACTCAAAAATTATATGAAATTGTTGAAAAAACAAAAAGTTAACATACCTTTTACACCGAGTGCGTTGTTGCTTCACCACTCTTTGTTCGGCACTAGGTTCGGGATCGACTCACGATTGCATTACTCGGAATATCTTCTATCCTTTTATAACATAGCCAAACGAACGTATCCGCGATTACCCCGCGTCCGTGATTCCCCCACTCTCCCCTACGCATTGATGAGTACTGATTGGCATATCAGAAGAATAACCTTCTGTTATGCACCAATCAGTACTCATCAACAGCCTTTCATAGTCCAATGCTGGAAAGGAGGTTTTGGCCTACTATACCACGCTGGCCAGACGGGTTGGTATAGGATTTGTGTCAAGTTTACCTTCTCTCTGCAATGTTGTTGTTCTGCGTAGTTTTTTCCCTTAGTCGGCTCTTACGACACCCACTGGATGAATAGGGGATGGTGACACTGTATTCTTCATCCTTCACCACACGGACCAGTAGTATCGTGTGGTAATCCAAAATCGTATCTCAAAATCAAACCGAATTGTTAGGAACTACGAATATTGTGGTACGAAAGGATATCGCATCGTTATTTTTTATTATGGAGTAGTGTGGCAAGGAGAACCATCTCATATGGGGAAAAGTTGAAAGTGTCCAGCTATATACTGAAAAGGGAGGTCACTGTTGTACGAAAACCTACGATATGAACATAGCTGTTGTAGACGGAGTGAAGTGTGCTGAGTTAAAATATTATAACACTTTGTCTGTAAAACTAATTGACTATTTTCGCAGTCCAGTGCTCAGTGTTTAATTATTATTTAAGCCAATATAAATTCTACTCTTATTAGACGCGTTTTTGCAGACACTTCATTCGCAGAGATGGTTCTCCTTGCTTCTACACTCCATAGTTTTTATAGCTTGCATTATCAAAAATATAAAGAAGCAATAAATACTTACTACAGTTAGAAAACACCATTTTTCTTTGAACTGATTTGCTGTATTTAAATACTAGAGGTAAAACAGCGACCTGCACTACGAAAATACTGGCTGTTAGTGAGGCGCCTGTCAACAATATCGCCCTGGAATAGAAGGGTCACATTTTAGAAGCTAACTGCAAAAATGCATGCATGTGCAGATGGGCCACCACCTGATGGTAAGTGATTATCTTCGCCTATGAACTCCTGCAACTCAATTTTTTTTTATGGAAGAGGGGACACACGAGCAGACGGGTAACCTCTAATGGAAAGTGACTATCGCCGACCATGAACGCCTGCAACTCAGGAGCCACAAGCGCGTTGCCGGCCTTTTAGAAAGGAGTAGATACGCTCTTTTCTTGAAGGTCTTATCTGTCCAGAAAATAGTCACAAGTAACCCCCCTCCCAGAATCCAGGGGGAGGGGGAGGTTTGGGCTCCTGTAACCTGACTTCCTAAATGAAAATAAAACACCGGTTTTTTGTGAGGCCGAGGTATTACTCCGGTCGAGTCGGTACAATTGAGACAAAACATGGCTGTCCTATCGCCTTAGTGTAAGATAGTGTAGGATACGGTAGTTTAAAATAAGTAGGTAGTGGGTATATCACAAGCATTATAATATATAATACAAGTATTAAATTAAATGCTTTAGAATATTTTCTTCTACCTGTAAAATTTTCACGTAAGACAGCGACGAATTTAATGTCAACTACTCACTAAAAGCTGTTGTAGCTGTAAGCTTATCTTTAGTCAAAATATCGTCTGGTGGTGGAATTTTAAACCATAATTTAAATGTAAAACCTGAACAGTGAGCCTGCTATTTACAGTATTTATTAACAGTATGATTGCTGAGTGGGTGCCCATTTAATAATAATTATACCTTAATTCATTTGAGTTTGTTGTTGATTATAGTTTCTTCTTTTTCTTTTTACAAAATTCAAACCGAAATTTACCAGGAAAATAATAGGTATATAGTGGATATTAACCGCGTAGGCCGTCGCACATGTTCCAAAACCGAATACGATTCTCATCATCTGCCTACCCTTTTCCCAATTTTATTTGGGGTCGGCGCAGTAAGTATGATTTTTCCATTCTACTCTGTCATGCGTCATCTCACTGTTTACTCCCTTCCTAGCCATATCCTCCCTGACGCAGTCCATCCACCTCTTCTTCGGTCTGCCTCTTCTCTTGTACCCTTCAACTCCCATACCTAAAACTTTCTTCGCCACATTTTCCTCATCCCTCACGATTCTGTATAATACAAAATGAACTTACTCCACAATCATACTGATGAGGAGCTAATCTGCAATGATAACTTTTTGTGATAGATTTTCTTCTCATTTTACTTATTTTTCTCTTTTATTTCACATAATTTATAATAAATAGTCTTGATAATTTGTCTTCACTAATACCTAAACAAGTTTGTCATTATTTTTTTGACGTTTCATATTATTTTTAATTTTTTTCACAGCGTTTGGCACGTGTCCTGTATAAGTTATGTAACCTTTCCCAAGAATTCTGTAGTCGTCACGTTTCTTGCGCGCAGAGAATGGTGATTTCAACTCAGGGCCTATGTACATTACAGGCGATTACCTTCCTAGGGTACACCTGGTTCCCCGGCAACTGGTACCAGAAACGGCGTGCGGTTTTTTACAATTATAAGGAAATGATTTATTTATTTTAATATTTTTTTATTTTTATTTTAATAATTTATTTATTTTATAATTTTATTTTTTTAATATTTATTTTTTATTTTAATAATTTATTTATTTTATAATTTTATTTTTTTAATATTTATTTTTTATTTTTTTATTTCTTTTAATAATTTATTATAATAAAAATAAATAAATCATTTCCTCAAAAAACGTAATACATTTTCAACTACCGATATTTATACCGATGCCAATGGCTATTGGGACTAATCCCACTCACACGCCCACCACTGTAACTCCTGTACACCAGGATCCACAGCAGTGACCCACGAACACACCGAGTTATGACACTCGGGAAGTCCCTGGAAGAAATTAAACTGTCTTGGAACCCGCAACGAAATTAATCAGAAGAAAATTGGAGGAGTTGGAAATACAGTAAATCCACTTCCCTCCTTAGTATACCTGGTAGTAAAATATTATCAAAATGGGTCCAGTCGTTTAGAAGATTGTCCGATACAAACAGACAGACAGAGATGAAGACAAAAAACTTTTTAACTAGTTTTTAGGCACAGGTATCGTGCAAATAACCGTGTGAGCACGAAAAACACCTACAAGGAGAGAAAACCACCTCGTATTACTTTGACATTACAGACACATCAATTTTATTTATTTGTATAGAGTATAGATTATCTGTATGGTGACGGATTAACAATACGGTGTCACTACCCCTATTCATCCCATGGGTGTCGTAAGAGCCGACTAAGGGAGTAAAATACAAAGGACAACTTGTAAAGAGAAGGAAAACTCGAAACAAACCCCATACCAACTCTCTGGCCAGCGAGGTATAATAGGCCAAAACCTCCTTTCTAAGGAGAGACCTATGTCCAGCAGTGGATTAAGTAGTAAAGGCTTCATGGGAAAGCCATACTTTTGCACAAGTAGACTTGGTCGACACGATATGACGACATTTCTTTTCGTCGTTTTTCAACGAGTGTGTGAGGTTACCCGACCTCCAAGCCCGAAACCCTCCTCCTGAATCTAGGAGGGGCTCATTAGGGCCGTACTTTTGTGACACTTAAACTCAACGTGGCCATAGACGGTAGGAGCCACTTACCATCAGGTGACCCGTCTGATCATATACCATAAAAACTCTACAAAACACATAAAATCAAACACATACACTACAGTGTAACAAAATTTATTGATATTCAACTTAATAAATTATTACATTAGATAATACTCAGAGTATTAAAAAAAAAACAATAAATATACGTAACACTAAGTACAACACATTAAATAAGAGTATTTATTAAAAATCGGTCACAAAAATGTTCAACATTAAATTGACTATTTTTTTTTAAATTATCAATAGATACCGCCTGTCTGGTAAAATGTTTAATTAAAAAAAAACTCACGGATGAATACACAAAACATGCCACATCACTTTTATGAGCAGTCGTGTATGCATCAGAATAGTGTAATACAAGTATTTCGGACGTCAGACACACAACGCCATCTAGTTTCAAACCAAGCAGAGCTTCTAGAGATAGAATACTTATATTTGTAAATACATATATATTTTATATAGAAAACGCCCAAACTCCGAAACAAATATTTGCAGATCATACCAACATTTGGTCTAACTAGAGAATTGAACCCTAGACCTCAGCACAGCAGTCGCATACGCTACCACCGCACTAAAGAGGCAGTCAATATGTGATGGTACACCCGTTAAAAGAAATATCTGGTCATGTTTACATATGTGTGGTATTCTTTTAAGTATATTATAACACATTAGCAAATTAATCTGCGTTATTAGATTCATTTTCCCTTGCTTTTGATCATTAAAATCCCAGGTACTTCCTGCTCCTGACCAAGTATTTTGTTTACTGTGTACATGACAAAAAAAATTTAAATGCGTGGGTAAATGAAGATCCGACATCATGAGTTCGACGACGGAGGACGCACAACACTTAGCCATTCGGCTTGTGATCACGGTCATGTTACCTGAAGGTCAATTCTTCAAAAAGTTCGATCTCAATTCAGTTCCGATCAACTTTGTAGTAAAGTATTAAACGTCCAACGTTGACTGTAATGTGATTATATCGTATTGTAACCGAAAATTGAATCGGTAATCTGCTAGACTTAGTAATACTTTACTTTATAACTACGAAAATACCTTTTATAACAGTTTTCAGATCGAAAGTTGATCGGAACTGAATTTTGACCGAACTTTTATTACGAGAATTAAAAAGTCAGACAGTTGAAAAGTATATTGATTACATGACTGCATCTTGTTACCATAAATATACATGTTATCACCGCTTCTAACAGGCGAGGGGAACCTCTGTAATATAGGATTCTGCAATTTTATATTCAAAATAGCTAAGTATGTACTGTAAATAGCAACATTCTTATAACTAAGATAAAAACCAGTGACGTCACTCCTGTCCTGCAAACAACTCTATATAGGTATATAGGTGTTACAATAGCTTTTTTTTCTGCAGTATTTCATTTATATGTTTAAAGTTGTCTACAGTATTTTCTGGAAAATCTGAAATATTCATTGCTACAAAATACTCATAGTTAATTCATGTTAGTGTGATCAAACAGTTGCCTGAATATTTTTTTTGTTACCAAGAATGTGTGTATGTGTATATAATTTTAATATTAGTGACCGATTATACAAAGAACAAAAAACTTGTATAAATAACATAATAATAGAAAATGGACGAAGCTGTGTTAATTAAAACTAAGTGTCTTCTGTTGAATTACATTACTTTAGTAAACTAATTAATATGCTCCTAACTAACTGCCTTGTGCTACTCACATAGTATTAAGTTAAAACTAAATATTATTTTGTACATTATTAATGTTTATTTTTTTTTCTAAATCAATTGTCGTAAGAGCCGACTAAAGGAGCAAGCTACGCCAAACTATGGCACAGCAAAGAGAAGGAAAACTTGACACAAATCCCATACCAACCCGTCTAGCCAGCGTAGTATAGTAGGCCAAAACCTCCTTTCTAGAGAGAGGCCTATGTCCAGCAGTGGACTATTAAAGGCTGTTGATGAATGTTTCTAAAAGTTATGGGTCTGGTTTTTGTAAGCCGTCAAAATTGAACTTAAGTTAGGCCATACACGGTATTGTGTATTAGTGCGGATGACCTGTGCAGGTGTGCAGGTGTGCAGGTTCTCTCAGAGTTTATTAGCAGGTCAACTGCTAATAAACTCTGAGAGAACCTGGAAAAATTTACTTCCAATATATACTCCATTCTACTCTATTTTTACTATTCTAGTTGCGACGTGGTAAGGCCAGTATTAATGTCACAAGTATTTTTTTCTGGTGCCCAGAATTGGAACTATAATTGACATTTTGTGTAACAGTGTTGCCAGGTTTACAGTTTTAAAAGAGTAGATTTTTGAGTTTCCAGGAGATGTTTTCCTGTACAGTATATACTGATATAACCAATTATATAAAAAAAAATAGGATCCGTTGGTGTTTTGGAGTCTATATAGTATATTTTTTCAAGTATTCTTTTTTACAAAATGTATAAAGGGGTAATAAGATAAAATACTACGAAGTTCAAATTTACAAGTTCAGCAATATTGTCAGTCTTCTTTTTTCCAGTACCTTTAAATTTAGTATTAAGTATTTATTGATTAAATTCTTTTCGGATTTAAAGAACAATGGCAGAAACATATTTACCTAAAACTTAAGCGTTTAAAAAATCGAGTCACAGTAAACTTAATCAAATATTTTTCTATGATTTATCATTACACCACCATGTGTTGTATAAGTCTTATAAGAGATAAGATATTTTTGAAGATTTTATTTGACCTAAGTACGTAATGTCAGATTCACCATCACGTATAACTGACTAGGGATGCGTGGTGGCAATATTATATTATGGAACAATTTATCGATAATTGATTCTTATAGCTTTGGCTGAAATATTTACCGAAGGTTCACTATTATGATTATGAATTTGCTTCTGCCCACGTCTTCACTCGTACGGTAGAGTGACTGAATCAACATAATTAGGAATGATTTAAAATATTTTTGACTCTCTTTAAACAATTTTAAACACACTAAAGAAATAGAATATAGTTACGTTATTTTCCCCTACACAGTGTGATGAGAAAAATACATTGTCATTGATAACGGCACATAAATAGACATACATCGATATTTTCAAAATGTCGATACGTCGTCGTTTAGTACATATTTCTTAATCTGTGGTTTAGATCCTGTCAAGTTCCGGACTCACCACGTTTGTTATTTTATTTTTGTTTAATTTAGTGTTAAACTCGAATAGATGTTATGCTTTTATTTTTTTTATTTCATATACTGTAATAATAATGAAAATAATATTTTCGGCTATCTGACACACAACGCCATCTAGTTTCAAACAAAACCTTAACAATATGTTAGTACTTAACCTCGAAACATTCAAAATCCAATATCTTTTTTCCTAGACTTCTTTCGCAAGTAATTTTGATATGAGAATGGTCAAGAATAAATTCTCAAGTGTGAAGGATTTTTTGATATTTAAACGCTAACATTTCAGTTCAAATAAAATTATGTATGGGGACCTGCCATTGTCCTTTAATTACACAGGTCTAATTTTTTTACTTTTATTTTTTAACTAGACAAGTTTTTGTACTGGCATTAATTTCAATCTATCCCTAAAAATAAAATCTACCTATTGTCATAACTAATATCTGAGCCAGTCACGTATCCCACGATGTAAATATTTTCCGTAAGATTTTTTAGAAGCGTTAGCCCCTACCCCCCCAGCCCTCGCCCCCAGCAGTCTTTCCCTTTACACATTAATATTTAATTATTTGTATTGAAATTTGTGAAAACAAGAACAACCTATAACGCATACTCTAAACGTAAATATAAAAAATATATTATAAAATACGATTCATAGCGCATTTATTATTAATAAGAGTTATTATAGGTCAACCATATAATGCCGCCGTGATTTACTACAATTATTAATGTGTAATACCTTTTCTCTTGCTTTCCTGCGATATGTAGAAATGTTTTAGTGAAAAGGGACGGAAATGTGTAACAGCAAGTAAGTGCATGCTATTTATTTCGACCAATGAGCGCGGCGCTACAGTTGACCGTCAGATGTTTGTCATTTATTCTTCGTCTATTATACGGCTAAAATGTCTTTTATTTATAATGACCAGTCGATAATAACCACAGCCAATAGACAACAATTACAAGTTACATCGGTTATAGTAGCACACTATCACTAAGTTAGCAGGCAAACACTAACACATTAAAATGCCTCTAATACACTTTAAACTAAATGTGTGCGTCCACTAATTTATTATGTACTTAATTGTTTACACAATACTAAGTGTAAGTACACTAATGCATTTTATAATTGAATGAGTAGTATACTAGGCCTAAAAATCCTTTCTAAGAAGAGGCCTATGTCCAGCAGTGGACAATAGCCTTTAATAAAAGGCTGTTGATGATGAGTAAAATTGAAAAGATTATTGTACTAATACTACACAATTTTTTATAATAACGTATGAAACATAAACGGCTCTAATGATTTAGATGAAATTTAGTAATTGGATAAACCTGATAAAATAAGGTGGATTGAGCTTTTATAAGTATTTCCTTAGTGTTTAAATTGACTGAAGCCGAATGAATTCAAACAACAAATATTCAGAATACGCTTACAACGGTATATCAATATTCAATGTATCTCAGGTTTTAACTTCAAAGCTTTCTGTTTAAAAGGCTCCTATTGTTTAGAGGTGACCTAGATCAGCCAGGGTTCACAGATAAGGTTTTTTCTAAAGATAAGGGTATATTACCCTTGTACTCATTGCGACTGAAAACCGTGGGGTTGCCATATGAAAAAAATGTGTGTATAAAAATATAAATTTTTCACCCACAATCGACTCAGATGGTAAACCTAGCTTTAATTGGTAGATTAGTTTACTAAACTATTAGGAACCCTGAATAGCATTTATTCAGTTATTCTATATTAAATGGTATCACGTTTTCATCGACGTATAAATAGATTATGAAGTTACTTGGTGTCACTCTGGCTTCTTTACATTTTCCATGATGAATTCTCTGGAAATAAAGAAAAAAAAATATTTTTTTAGTTTATTTTACACACAACTCGATTCTCGAGCAATAATTTTAGTACAATGTGCAATAACTTGTACATAACTAATGTATAAAATCTTCGAAGTCGAGAAAATTTTTGTCAAGTAAAATTTTCTAAAACACTCCTGCTATATGAGTTTGATTACTTCGACCGATACACTGACAGTGCTTACAGAATAGTATATGATGGGAACAAATGACAGCTGTCAACTTGTCTACCGGTTAATGACGTAATGCGTCAACTTGGTTTGTGAAACATCTAATGCTGATGCCGTGGCGACGCGTCCCCACGGCATGCGTTGTGTTGGTAAGTGATATTTAAAAAAAAACGTTGTTTCACATCTGTCAGACGTCAAGCGACGGCTCTTTTTGTATTATTTATAACTTTTAGAAAATTGATTTAAATCTTTTTATACATTTTTAATATTAAAAAGATTTGGTTTCATGGTTTTTAAATATAACAATGCTCAATATCTCTATTGATCAAGTAATATAGCTAATAAAGGTAAAAGGTTGGCAAATAAAAAAGCCAGTTCACTTTATAGTGCACCTTATTTTTAAGACCATTAGGGTATTTTTTGATTGTGGTTATATTTATTAACTCACCTTGTAACCACGTCTAGTTCTCTCGAGTGACAAATATACTTGTGACCTAAGTTTTCCTTCTTTTCGAAAGCATGGAGTTTGATTTTAGCATCAGTTTCAGTCCGAGATTGCACAATAGTTTTGTATAGCTGAAATATAAAACATGCAATTTTATTTCGTGGATATTTGACGCTTGCAACACCGTGAGGATTATAATAATAACTAGACACATTTTACACATGGCCGTTTGATTTTAAACTAGGCCAAGCCAGTCGGCTGTTTTATTAATTATATTGCAGTTTTTGAGGGTATACGGTTTTTATAAAAAAAATTTCGTTGAAATGTTCTGTTAACTCACTTTTATATAATTTTTAACCAAGAAAAAAATACAAAATTATAAAAAAAATGATGAATTTTCCGGCAGAAAATTCCAATGAATTTCGACTCAGAATCATGGTCTGAATACACTATTTCAGTATTCCTGACGATGTCCCTTACACCCTGTATTTCTAAACACATTAAACATGAATTACCCCTGAACAAAGAACAATTCATGATGTTTTTCCCATTATTAGAAGTTCTGAGTGGGAATCGAACCCACGACCTCTGGCTCAGCAGTGTGAATCACTAAAGATAATAAAAACAGGTCAATGAGATGAGTCTCAATGCTAAAGAATTATGCTAATAAATGCTAAAAAATAATTATTCAAATCAGAATTATTAACCAATGTCTTCAATAGTAATCATTTTGTTGATACCACTATCTAGTGTAGGTACTTCAGACTGTTGCTGGGAGTAACTTCTAGATAAGTGGGGATTAATTTCGTATCGCCCACTTATCCTGCCACTTATCTTTGACCGAGATTAAGTTATTTTCCTAAAGATTTATTTAGGTACGTTATGTTTCTGTTTGATATTAGATTAGGCCTCTGTCTCCAACTCCCTTGATAGAAAGTGACTATGATGACATAAATGGGTCACGTTTACTCTTGAGTAAAGTAGGATTTTTTTTATATACTTAATTTAATTTTATTTGCTATAATATTGGTTAAGCGGTTATTGATTCTCTATACAAACTTCCACCCCTCCCCTATTCACCCCCTTAAAGGATGATTTTTGGGATGAAAACTATCTTATGTCTTTTCCCGGTAGTCGAACTATCCTTATACCAAATTTCATCTAAATCGGTTCAGCGGTTTAAGAGTGACGAAGTAACAGACAGACACACTTATTATAGTATGGATTTGTGTAAAATTTACCTTAACTCCCACTAGAAAAGGCACTACCATATCATCTTTAGCATGTAGTATCAATATAGGCAGTTTCTTCGCCTTACACAAATGTTCGTCCGATTTGAACGTTTGTTCGCCATTCGACAGAAACGGTGCCACGAAGGTGTATTCATAATAAGGTAGCCAGGTCACCAACTGAAATAAAAGTTACTGTAATTATTTAGAAAACTCGAAAATGACGTAAGTAGCCATTAAAAAATATCGTCATACGGAGGATGATGGGGTTGACGAGGTATGAAATTGTGTGACAAAGGGGTGGGTGGGGTCTTAAGTTTCGTGAAGACACATTTGAAAACCTAAATCCTAATCAAAATTCTTTAACAGTCCACTGCTGGACATAGGCCTCTCCTTAGAAAGGAGGTTTTGACCTACTGTACCACGCTGGCCAGACGGGTTGGTATAGGGTTTGATTCAAGTTTTCCTTCTCTTTGCAGTGCTGTTGTGTTGTGTAGTTATGTTGTCTAAGGTCTTACGTCACCCACGGGATGAATAGGGGTGGTGACACTCCGTATTCTTAATACGTCCCCACACTGAGATTTCTAGATGTAACATTACAAAATATGTGACGTTACTCTAGGGAGAGTCTCACAAATGTGACCTTCTGTGACAAGTACGGGAGTGGGTGTAAAAAAACCCCTGAAACACGAGTGACGCTGCATGCAAATTGAGAACGAAACAAGTTGAACCCGGGCTATAGTCAAACCCCGATCCCTGACCAATCAGGTTTCAAGTTTTCGTACGAAACAATAATAAAATTGTCATCAGGGGGCGGGGCTTCATCGATGCGTCACTATTTTCTTAACGTGAATGGACTCTAGTTCCGGTTAGCGAACGAAACGGGCATCTTTTTTATCTTTTTCTTTTTAAATACCTGGGGACTTTTATAAACATATATGAAACGGACACAAAGAACACCCAGACACAGAACGACAACTTGTGGATCACACAAAGTGTCGTCCCATGCGGGGATCGGACCAACAACACTCGGCGTGCGAAGTGGCATGGCGACCGCTTAAACCGCTACGCCATTCGCAGTCTAACGATGACGTCTAATTAAACAACATGGTCGATTAATGGAGGTTGATATAATTATTATAATTGTGAACTGACCGAGCGTATAGAGCACTTAAACACAGTAATAGTCAAAAAGGACACAAAGCAACGGCTACGCTTCGAGAATGACTCTCAGCGAAAACTTCGAACATCACGCTTACTTTTAGAATCCATTATACCTCTGCTGTGGCAAGTAAGTATATACAAATGTACTTACAATATTCACCTCAGAATGACAAAATGAGTAATTTTTTTGATAATTTCGAGACAACTAGTCCTATCCTCACTAAGAGACTAAAAATAGTATATATATATTACATAATGTATATATTACATTACCCTTTTTTTTTTCCGTGCGAAAATCCCCTTGGATACCACCTATCGGTGGCATGTCGGACTCGAACCGACTAAAACCGCACGCCGTCTCGGGTACTAATAGCCGGGGAATCAGGTATACCCTAGAAAGGAAGTCCCTGTATATTACATTACCCTAGATAGGGGATGTTGTCTGACTTCATCAGCCAAGTTATTAAAAGGCGCTTCAAGTATCAGTCCGTTCGGTAGCGGCAGGGGAGTGCTTCTTTCCAACAAGGTCATGGACAGCTCCGATAAGTTACCCATCAGGTGGGATGATATCCCTGTACCTGGAAATCAATCACATTAACAAATTTCATTAGTTAATTAATATTTCACTTGATAAACTTTAGCAGCAGTCATTAACTCTGATAAAAGAGATGAAAGAAAAGAATGCAACAAATTTATTAAGAGCTAAAACAAGAACCGTGGGAGAACCATATAACTTTTATGACATTTGTGAGGTCTAGAGTAGATCAGAACTGAAGATTGAACGAATTATTATTACGAGGATCGTGTGGTTTTATTATCAGATCAGTTCCAATATGCCATTCACAGCTTCATCGACAGCCCTTAACAGTCCACTGCTGGACATAAGCCTCCCCTTACAATGGAGGTTTTGGCTTACTATACCACGCTGGCCAGACGGGTTGGTATAGAGTTTATTTCAAGTTTTCCTTCTTTTTGCAGTGCTGTTTTGCACAGTTTGCTCCCTTAGTCGGCTCTTACGACACCCACGGGATGAATTGAGGTACACTCTGTATTCTGTACAGCTTCATGTAGCTATAAAAATTGGAAATAGGTTTAAATTGTCTTCCAAGCTTAGTTTAAATTGTTAGTTAATTTTTTTTCATTTTAAGGCCTGCCTTTAAGTACATAACAAAAAAAAAATACCTAAGGAATGTCCCCACACGAAAATAGGTGGCTTATGATCCTTTCCTAAGGTGTCATGAAGCCATTCGTACACCACCAGCGAATCTTCCACAACACCAAGCTCGCTGGGTTTTATGTTCGTCGAGTCACCATAGCCTAGAAACCATTTCCAGAATACATTTAAAGACTAATTAAAATTAAAATAAGATATTATTATCGATGATATTGTTTGCGAATGGGTTTTGGGTTTGAATCTCAATAAACACAATTATCTGCTATTTAGAACAATCCGCTGTAATTAACACAGAACTAGAATGTGTTCACAGAGGATCTCGGCTCCCTTTTACAAAGTGTCCGTATCCCATAGAGAATTCCAGAAAGTTCGATGTATTTTAGGAAACCTGTAGAGCATGTTGTAATGTTTTAACTTTATCTGGTAAATTTGGCACCTCTGTTATTCGATAGCAAATGGCGGCAAGTGTCTGAGTTAGAGGCGATTGCAACAATATTTTTTAATTTAAAACAAAACACTTTTGATTGAATCAAATTATGCTTTCGATGTTATTGGGCTATGGATGACGTCAATAAAATACGTAAAAAGGAGAAAGGTTCCCAGGGACAAAAAACCGTGGCACTCCGGGAGTGCCGACAGAAGTGAAAACTTGAAAATTACAAGGATAATATACACATATATTACAAATAACAGGTTTTTTTTTCGATTGAAAAAATTCCGACATAAATATATATCTATGTTGTACATATTATACACAATATATGTTTATATTATATATAGTTATATTATTTCAACCCAAACTCAGCTCTCGTGTAAACGGAGCAAATATGTGTAGATAGTGTCGCGAGTTCAATAGTTTTATCCCATCTCAAGAAATACATTCTTTTGTTTGTTGTTCAAAAATGCTCCACGCACCTAAATAAGTTTTCCCTTGTTTAAGCTTCTTCACTGAGCGAGTGACTAAAGATATCATGATTATTTATGAATATATACAATATTTATACAACCCAGAGCGTTCTCCACCAGACTGATTAACTGTCTCTTTGATATCTAGTATTATCAAATATGAGAATATTACATTTTTTCGTTTCATTTTCGTAATTACCTACATTCTATCCGCGAAATTAAGATAAACGTTTCATGTATTGATTGAATACAAATATGGCGGACGGTAGATGATTCTTACCTCTGTAGTCAAATGCGATGGTGTGGTACTCCATCTTCTGTAGGAATTTATACAATTCTATCCTATGAACGGCTGCGCGGGAATTCGAATTGCCTGTAACGTTACATTATTATGTTATCAATTATAAAATTATTCAAGGAAAATAACGTTATATTTTGAAACAAGCATATTTTCCCGCCTAGTACAAATAAATATAGCTTAAATTATTTTTATGCCGCTAAAATTTCAAATTACATTCGAAAAGAAATTGAAAACACATTTAATTTGACACTTAATATAAAAAAGCAAATTTTAATTGAAAAAAGAATCAGTGGAGCTTGTAATTATTTATGATTTGCTTTAGAACCTGATTTCTTGAATATACCGTTGTCGCAGCCGCAACGGTCAGCTTAGATTTTACGTAAAAAAAAAACAACCCAATGCTGTGAAAAACCACAAGTCCGCTCGTTTTGATCAGCACTGAATCGTTAAAAAACTGTATATCCGGATACAGATACTAATACGGATTATTATTTAATGTCTAGTAAAAACGTACGCGAATATACGGCACATCACTAGTTTTATTTAAAAAAAAAAACACAACTTACCGTGACAATAGAGTATTATTGGAGTCTTAGATTTGATCAATTCTTCGTCCATTATTTTATTTAGTTCTTCCTTGTCGGTATTGGTGTTGAAATTGTTTTTTAGCCTCTCATATATCGTCTTTGGTAATATGTGCCATATGCCTGACAAAAAAATAAGGGCTTTTCTTTTTAACACACTTTTATTAGCTTCGATTCTTAAAGGCTACTTGGCAATTATTATTTTTTTATTAAAAGGCTTACTAGCAACCGAAATTACTAGTATTCCCGTTAACCCCTCCAGCTAAGCTGAATTGCTTGTATTAGGAGTTGGTTCACGTCGGTAGTGTACTGGTCAGGATTCGAACCCAAGGCCTCTTGATCGCAAGTCCAATGCCTTGACCACTAGGCTACCGCCGATAAACGATATTTACGGTTAAAGACATATATTTTTCTCAAAAGATTACAATTAATCACTTGCAGAGAAAAATACAATACTAAACAAAAATATATTACCTAATTAGCGTAGTTAGTTAGTAAGGTAGTTGTGAAAAGTTTTTTCGGATAGATTAAATCTATCTATATATCTAATTTCCACGTATAGTCACTCAACACGATATTTCTGGAACCATTAGAGCTAAAGACTTGAAATTTGGTAGGAATATTCTTTTCACCGAGTAGAGGTCAGCTAAGAATGGATTTTAAGAAATTAAAAAAAAATAATAATAATTAAATAATGTAAATAGCAAAACAACGTTTGCAGGGTCAGCTAGTACTTTATATAAAGCTGTGAGTTCCAGAATGTTGGTGGACAAAACAATGCATGTTATAAATTAGTATATAAAATTTATAAGTTGGATGTTAGAGTTTGCATCTTGTAGTAGGAGGGCACAAATATCTAATCTATACTAATATTATAAAGCTGAAGAGTTTGTTTGTTTGTTTGAACGCGCTAATCTCAGGAACTACTGGTCCGATTTGAAAAATTATTTCAGTGTTAGATAGCCCATTTATCGAGGAAGGCTATAGGCTATATATCATCACGCTAAGACCAAAAGGAGCGGAGCACCAATGAAGAATGTTTCAATAACGGAGAAAATTTATTACTATTGAGAGACGCAGACGAAGTTGCGCGGGTCAGCTATACGAGTTTTTTTTATAAAATTTACCAGGAAATATCCCTTATTAAAAATACATATAAGTACTGGTTCCGCCTGCTTGTGTGTCGTTTATCGCGGTAAAAAGTAGCCCATGTTACTCGCTGATAATGTAGCTTTCCATTGGTGAAAGGATTTTTAACATCGCTTTAGTGGTTTACAAACAAACTCATTTTTACATTTACAATATAAGTATGGATGTTCACGTCGTGTCTTAAGGGTGATGCGGCGAAAGGAATTTAAACCGGTAACTCTCTGGTTATACGATCGCCCACCTTCACCGCGCCGACATTCGACGATTTATTTTTCCTATGTACACATGTCTTATATTATGTACTACATATGTTTATATATTTCTAATATTGTAAATTTGCTATAACTGTGATACAACTGAATGCTTTCAGCGTCTGTGTTTCAATTGGCCAACCCAAGACACCAGTATTCAACATGGATGTTTATCAGCAGTTTGGTTACCATAGTATAGGCTCTGCCTAGTTCGGGATCAGACGGCCGTGTGTGATAAATAATAATAATCACACAACGCCATCTAGTTTCAAACCCAACAGAGCTTGTACTATGAAAGCTAGATTGACTGATAGAGTACTTAGATAAATTAGTTCTGAGGTTAAAAACTCAAAAAAATTAATGCAAGTTGAAAACCTATTTTTTTTTAAGTCGGTACAAAGTGATGTGTTAATTAAACGAATGCCTACAAGAAAATATATATATGAATTTTGGTCATAAAAAGCATAAAAAAATTGAATGTTTTTGGACTTTTTTATTTAAGGAAAAGGTGGGCAAATAAGCAGGCGGGTAACCTGATGGTAACTACCACCGCTCATTGACACCTACAAGTCAAGTTGCGTTGCCGCTCTTTGCCTCAAGTCATTCGATCCAGGTGATTGTACTGGATTGTAGTGAAGATTGATTACTTTTTAATCGTATCAGGTGTTTGTTTGAAAATGTTGCATTCTTATCGGCAAAGCTATGTTATCGTTAAAAATAAAAAGTTATCAAGTAATTATTAGGATTATGTACTCTTCAGGTGATAAACTACATATATCCTAGTGTACAGGCTGTGTCTTCAATTTGACCATACAGTTTTGAAACAACCTGTATAGTTCGGATGACAAAATTATAATTTGACGTCTTAAGTTCGAGTTTGGACTTTAGCGATTCCTTTTCACGTATGCTACAGGTTGATGATAGAACCAGGTGTACAGTAGCACTGTATTTAATTTTTGCTTCGGTTTGGAATTATACCGTATTTTCAAAATACTTCAAAAAGGGCGAGGTTTTCAATGTGTTTTTTATGTGTTTGTTAATTCAGAACTCCGTCGTTAGAAATAAAAAAAAACAAAAACAAAAAAAATAGATGAATTTCGAAGTCATACAAAAAAGAAGAGAAGAGCTGGATGCGAGAAGCCCAAAATCGATCTAAATGGCGTGCAATGGGAGAGGCCTATGTCCAGCAGTGGACTGCGATAGGCTGATGATGATGATGATGATACAAAAAAGTAGTTGGCTACGACGTCAACAATATAACCCTATTAGGTTATTAGTATTTAAATAAAGTCTGTATATTAAAATATGTCACAAGACATTATTCTTGCTGCTCACGTTACTTCATCAACTGATGAAGACGTTCGAACATAAAATAATATTTTTTTTTAAATATTTTTTTGGACGCAAGAGAGGATACAATGTTTGAGATTTTTATTTTTCGAGAACAAAAGAAGTTGGAGGTTGGGCTTGGCTTACTTCCCGTTTTGGTCTAATGCGAATTTTAAGAAAAAAACCTACACTTAGGGTGGCAAATTAAGATCTATGGTCACACTTTTTTAAAAATTTATTTTTTTAGTATTTCAGAGTAGACCTCCTGTCGTCGTTCTGTGTGTAGTAGTATCACTTATTACCGGTAACAGATTACCATCAGGTCAACAAACTATACTACGGACTAACTTAATGGTTTAATGTCTGTGACTATCAGCCAGATTTGGATAATTCTTTCGGTATCAGATAAAGCGTTTATTAAAACAGCAGTCGCCATAACAGCAAGTGAAACTGCGGAGACTGTTTTTATTTTTATTTTCGACATCTGACACACAACGCCATCTAGTTTCAAACTAAGCAGAGCTTATACTATGAGTTATATTGACTGATCAATTCAAACAGATATAAGCATAGAGAGAACACGGGTACGGCTGCCTGTAAATGGAAGCGATACCGGCAACGAGAGCGCTGGATCCGCGATAGTTCCCTACGTCTCTGTTTAGCTAAGCTGCGATTAGCTATCGTAAAGTGGGCATGGTTTTAATCGTAGAACAGGCGGGAGATTAGATATTTCCACAGGCAACCACAGAGCTCGATTAGAAAGTGATAGAGGGAACTATCTATTCTCAGTCTCTCGTTACGTATATTGCAGGATTGGGGATCTTGTTCATTCTATGCTAATATCTCTATGGATAGATTAGAAATTTTTGTAAATACATACATATTATACATAGAAAACACCTGAAACAAATATTTGCAGATCATACAAACATTGATTGGGATCGGGAATCGAACCCGACACCTCAGCACAGCAATCTCATACCACTGCACCACTGAGGCATTCATTCTCTAACAGTAACTCTCTTATAAACTACTTGTGCAAGATAATTGTGTGCGGTAGCCTAGTGGTTAAGGCGTTGGACTTGCGATCAAGAGGTCGTGGAATCAAATCCTAACCAGTACACTACCGACGTGAACCCACTCCTGACACAAGCAATTAAGCTTAGCGGGAGGGGTTAATCTAGTAATTTCGGTTGCTAGAAGATTTCAAATAAAAAAACTTACCTATTTTAATCTCGCAATTGTCAACCTTAGAGTGGTATTCGATGCTCAGATTGCGGGCGCCTTCGATGCCACACGATTTTGGCTCTTCGTAGTCGGAGTGAAGCGGCCATTGTACTGTCAAAATAACCTTATATCATTAACTAGCTGATCCGCGCAACTTCGTCTGCGTCTCTCAATAGTAATAAATTTTCTCCGTTTTTGAAACATTCTTCATTGGTGCTCCGCTCCTATTGGTCTTAGCGTGATGATATATAGCCTATAGCCTTCCTCGATAAATGGGCTATCTAACACTGAAAGAATTTTTCAAATCGGACCAGTAGTTCCTGAGATTAGCGCGTTCAAACAAACAAACAAACAAACAAACAAACAAACTCTTCAGCTTTATAATATTAGTATAGATATGTATAGAATACAACTAAAATAAAGAGGCCAAATTCATTACGCTGGTGTGCGTGATAACGTGTGTATGTGGTTCGCGAAATGTTATTGTTCTTTTCTAGTGTGTGTGTGTATAGAGGCCAGCAGTTGGCTGCTATTGTTTTCACAGCTTCCAGTCTTTTTAGACATATGACATGAAACTTACAAGTTACAACGTACAAGAAAAATTAAATAGGTATAATACTGTTACTGTTAAACAATCCTTTGAAAATTCTCCAGATATTGTTACTATTATTATACGGGGTGGGGTGTAGTGGGGTGCTTTAGAAACGTTAAAACGATGAACATAAAGACTATTCACACTTGTTACAAATATTAATATACACGACAGCAAAAATGTACCTATAGGTATATCAGGGATTCCCAAACTATTTTTGGCAAGAGACCTCTTTTCCGAAATGAACTGATTTCGCAGAACCCCATAAGTAAATTAGTTTTAAAATCCTATCTCTAGTTTTTTTCCTACGAACACAAAATATTTAACAATTTAAAATCTTTGTGGCTAGTTAAGTGAGGAAACTTGAGTCTTCTTAAATTTTAACAAAATAAATAGACATAAAATTCAGTAAATATCAAGTATATCAATGACGTTAAAACACTTAAGTATGTAATTACTTTTCAAAAAAATATAACATTAATACACACAACATAGGGTCCGTGTGGTGACGGATTAAGAATACAGAGTGTCACCACTCCTATTCATCCCGTGGGTGTCGTAAGAGCCGACTAAGGGAAAAAACTAAGCAGGACAACAGCATTGCAGAGAGAAGGAAAACTTGACACAAACCCTTTACCAACCCGTCTGGCCAGCGTGGTATAGTAGGCCAAAACCTCCTTTCTCAGGAGAGGCTTATGTCCAGCAGTGGACTATTAAAGGCTGTTGATGATGACACAACATAAACCGTCTTGAAAAAGTTTCTAACAAGAACTTGTGTTAATTAATAGGGGTCAATTTTTAGAAATCAGATCTCGTTTATGTGGACCCCTGGGAAATCGATTTCGATCACTTTGGGAATCATTGACGTATATCAATTCATTGCAATACTTATAAAGAATATGCAGATATTAATGTGGCTCAAGTGAAAGTAGTGAAAGTTTAGCCGCGGGTTGTCTGACCGTACCTCATAATATGCAACAAAATACAAAAAACACAACAGTGCTCTTTATATAAGTAAATATTATTAAGTATTTACGAAAATTCGCCTTCCGCCCCGTCTTTTCGCCTTTCGTGTGTGTGTATATGTATTATGTTCGTCTTGTATATTTACTCTCAAGTTTAGTGCACCCAATCACTCATTTCTACACCACCCCAAGGTAGACTGGCAGAGCATGCCTATGACATTAAGTCAACTTTTGTAAAAAAAAAAAGTGCATTAAGCATTAAATAAAAAATAGGTACTATGAAATTCGATAGTAAGCAAGAGTGTGAAAAGTTAAATAAAAAGTGGCACATTTCGAAGTGTATAAATACCAAAATTAGCGAAGACCAGGTTCCGTCTGAATGATTTAGAGTACTTAAATATAAGAGGCACCACACCCACGTGGAACACGAAGATGCTAGCCGAGATCGAAGCGCCTACCAACAATATTCTGTAAAGAAAACAGGAACATTAAACACAATTACATTAAGTCACTACTATAAAATCCTTAACATAACATGTTTGACCTGCTTTTATGAGAATTGTAGCTGATGACATCTGAAAATTGAAATGGTCATAATGTTTAAATGAATTTTTTTTACATTGAATGCCAAAGCCAAGCACCACAAGTGTTTAAAACTAGTGTTCTATTTTCAGGGACACCCTGTATACCATACATCTCTTGATCGAGTTTTTATTCTGTAGCTAATTAATAATAATTATATTTAAAAAAAAAATTACTTACAAATTTCTCTTTTCTTGAATTTTTTATGTGTGTCACACAATGAACAAGCAAAACTAATACATTTCATTTACATGCACAAGGCCTATTCAAACTGTTTCCTTTGTCATGCATACATGCTACTGTTTTAAAAAGTTAGTAATTCCTTGCATACACAATAGATAGGGAACACAAAAAATGTATTATACCTATAGGTTTGTTTTTTAAGTTTATCAATTATAATAATAACTTGTTCTAAAAACTATAAACTTATGTGAGTACAACTTGATCATATAACTTTCCTCATATTTTTGTGAAAAGATAAATGAATAATATTATGTTTAAATAGTTAACCATTAAGACAATTTACAAGAACAATAAATGAAGTGTAATGTTTACAACATTTTATATTGTAGTTTACACTGAGATAACAAAATTATTTTCACTAAAGAAAGAGTGATTAAAATGAAATCTTCTGAATGTTTTCACCATGCATGCATAGAATGCTGCCAATATTCACTTCCAGATTTTTCTCACAAGTGAATAGAAAAAAATGTATTTTCATTCAAGCATGCATGCATGCAATTATGTAACCAAATGTATAATAAAAATTATCATGATTATTATGCCTATTTTAAGTAAATGACTAGTCTCAAACAAAAGCTATAATGTTTTTACTAGTATTATATAATTATATTTAAAACTAGCTGGTACCTGTGACTTTGTACATGTGAAATTTGAAAAGTGCCTTAGTGGATTTGATTCCCGGACTGGCCAAATTTTTATAGGGTTTTTCTGAAGGAAAATAGCCTAAGTAACTTCTTATATAGACAGCTACCTGGTAGTAAAATATTATCAAAATCGGTCCAGCCGTTTAGAAGATTACAGTGAACAAACAGACAGACATAGGTATTGTGTTTTTGTGTCTTATAAGTGTATTCACAAGTTTCTTTAAACTATTCTGACAAGCCATCCTAACAGGAATTATAGTTGTAGTTGTTGTAGTTTTGCACAAAGAATTAAATAAATAAGTATTTAGATTGGTATCTCTGTTCTTTGTGATTTAAATCCACAGACAATTTTTTTTTTAAATAAATCCTTTTTTTATGTACTATTTACAATCATCTTTATGCTCTGTTATATTTATTACTTAGTGGCATTTATAAAATACATACATAGGTATAAAAAAATCGAATCCTTAAATTAAACTTTAAAAATATACCATTATACCTTAATTGTTAAATGCTATTCAATATTGAGCTACTTTCTCTACTCATTTAAATTCGCATTCCACACTTTCCCTCCATAAGATAAATAAAGCCAGCAATTTTTTTTAGTGATGAAGCTCCATAGTTCACAAGTTCAATTCGATAATTTTAATATAATTGTAAAGTATATAAAAATTTATTACTTACCCAGCAGCGTAAAGAGGCACACATATCAAGAGTCCATTTAATTCTACCATGATTAATATTACGTTAAAAACAGGCAGATTTGTTAAGTCAACAGAATACTAAGCCGGTCAACAAAAAAAAAAAATACAATCAATAGGATACGTGCGTCTAAACAACAATAAATTAAAAATTTAAAAAGATGATGAATGGAGGGGCTTTCGATACTACACTAACTTTTATTTTTATACGTTTAAGTTTTAATTAAAGGTATTAAAAGTAAACGTCGGTTAATTATTAATGAAATTAAATGCAATATCTTGTACCGAACCTTCGAACTCTTGACGACATTTGATTTTTGACAACTGTAATGACTGTGAAAAATGGACGTGACAGTTCTGTGACATTGACGTAACTGTTCGGAAATGTTATTTTAGTCAGTTTGTTACTAGGAAATTATCATTTGTGGTTGAAACTTTTGTTGAGTCAAAATCCTACTTCAAAAATAAACATTAATTGTGTATTATTACGGCATTTCATTTTAAGACAGTAGGTAATCGCAAAAAAACATAGTTGGAAACACAAGATAGTTTTAATGAGGAATGAGGAAAAATGTTTTGATAACGGAATCTCTGAACTTTTGAACGTGATTTACACACACAAAACGTCTGATTGAATTGAAACTTCGCACACTTATCAAGAACCAATGGCAAACGACAATACAATATTTTAATAAATTTCTCCGATTATCCTGATCAGGACTTCAGTATTAAATAAGGTAGTGTCTTTTGCCACGTACCAAGGCGTGTACTGAAATATACATTTTATTAATAAGTAAAGAAACAAAAATAAATTTAAAAATTTATTTTAGTTACCTAACAACGCAAGCTGTCAATTCATTACGTCGTAAAGTCTGTAAAAAACTAAGCAAATTGTAGCTCTTGTTTTAAGTCAATACTAGCGGAAAATACAAAACTGTAGAATGATTTGAATGTTGTTCTCTCCTTGTTTGCAACGAATTACAACTTCAAAAGCATACTTTTTTTTAAATTTATTCTTTATTTTATACAATAAATAACCCAAAAGTTGCTTTTCCTTGAAGCGAACCTGCAGGATGAATAAAGTTTAGAAGAGAACGAAAGGCGTCGGATGACCTAATAAAAACTGTTCCGCGATCCCTCCTGTTTAAGGTACAGTATGGCACACCGTGTGATTTTAGTTTGTGAAAAAAAAAGCAACGTCATTGACAAAGTCAGCTATACGTAGAAAGTTAAAATACCTAGTAAAAGAAAAATCAAAGAGGACAACGATAAGGGTCGTGGCGCTTTCGCGACCGGAACCGCGGTCCCGAATTCCCCTATAGATAAAATAATTATTTATGAGTGGTAGCTATATTGAAACCACTAATAAAAATATATATTCTGTGAAAGTAACAAACAATTAGAAGTTATAGAAATAAAACTATTTTATAAAACGATTAAATATTTTTATAGGTATTTAAAAATTGGCAGCCTTGACATAAATTGTTTTTTTAGTAATGGTCCCAATATACTACTCAAAAATAATTAAAGGGGAATTCGGGACAGCGGTCCTAGTCCCAAAAGCCCTACGACCCATAAAGAAAACAAAACAATTTGTATTGATAGCTTTATTCAAACTTTCTCTTCCGTTTTCTCATTCCAGTTCTTTTAAATCCTGAAGAATATACATCATGTGCTGGCTTAACTACCTCTTGTGATCTTGGATTTACGAAGCACCTGACCTCTATTTCCTCTGTGGTAAGAAGTTCGTTTTTCATATTAGCTGCTTTCATAATACTTTGAATGGATGGTGCCCAGAAATGATAAGTACCATATAATTTGGCATAGTTCGCAACAGCTGAACCAATAAGCTCAGTTTTATACTCTACCTCTATAATCATTATCATTTTCGTGGCTATTAAATCTGTAACAACAGTTTCATTTGGCTTTATAAATATACTATTTCGTTTCTTAGTTAATCCAAAAGACATTCTTGCGCCATGTGTTTTATTACTTCTCCATTTATTTTTGTATTTAAAATGGCCGTAAGTGAAATTAAAGTCCACGTGATAAAATATTTCGTCTTCTGCTATTCCACCTTCAGACCAAAGCGACTGTGCTGTATTTTCAACCATTTCATATATACATCTTTTAGATTTTACAACTGAAGTTGAATTATTAATAAATTCATGTTTTTTTATAATTAAATCCTCCTTTATTATATCTACGATTTTAGTTTTGTGCACTGTTATGCTTCTTTGAACTGGCTCCCATTTAAACTTTCGAAATAAATGTCCATAAAATGTAGGGTCATGAAGAAATATATCCTTTGGTTCCTTGCCCAGTTCAATTTTCATTCCTCTGTTTAAATTTTCTGTTGTTATGTTAAATAATTTTAATTCCGTACTTGTTACAATTTTTCTGTCACTGCCGGAGTATTTTATAATTATGTCATTTTTATTCGAATTATGAATAGTTATATTTACCTTTATGTTTGCACTTATAATTAATGGTAACATCAGTAAAACCAGGAGTAACATTTTTTTAATCACAGTTTCTGCAGTATTTTTAAGTTATCAATGTTTTTAAATGAACAAACGTTCAAACACAAACCTTGAAGTCAATAACATATCAGAATGTACGTAACTAATTTTGTTTTGATTTTTTTCTCACTCACTGCAGTATGTAATTATTAAATCTAAATGAATTAAATCTTCATCTATGAGGTAAACATGAATCTAAATAATTACAATATTGACAATGAATGATATTGCTATTGGGTCTCGGACTTGACCCATTTATCTCAGAATGCGTAATATCACTCATTAAACTAAAACGTACAAGTGATTAAATATGTATGTTCACAAAGAAGTATCCGCGTGCCTGTCAGTGTTTTTATAAATCTAATACAGAAACTCTAAATTGTTATTTTTACTGTTCTTTGAAAAATGTGAATCATTGAGCCTTGCCAATACTTTTTAAACTTTTTTCTACAGTTTACTTATAAATTTAGTCTTACGTAATAATTTTATATAAGTAGGTATATAAATGTCATCACATGTAATAGATGTCTTACTGAGAAAAGTACTACGTTCTTTTTTCGAAGCTGGTTAAAACTCATAAATAATATAATATAATATAATATAATATTCTACCACATACACACAACGCCATCTAGTCCCAAACTAAGCAGAGCTTGTACTATGGGTACTAGACAACTGATATAAATACATATATACTTTATTTTTTTGTAAATACATACATATTATACATAATAGATAACATAAAATAAACTAGCTTTTGCCTGCGGCTGCGCCCGCGTGTGTGTCGGTTATCGCGGTAAAAAGCCTATTACTAGTCATTCCTCAAGAATTAAACTATTCCATACCAAATTTGATGTAAATCAGTTCAGCATACAAACTTCCACCCCCTATTTTCACCCCAATAATGATTTCTGGGATAAGAAGTATCGTAAGTCCTTTCCCGCGACTCAAACTATCTCTATATAAAATTTTATCGAAATCGGTTCAGCGGTTTAAGCGTGAAGAGGTAACAGATAGACAGACAGACACTTCCGCATTTATAAAATTAGTATGAATTAGTGTGGATGGATAATAATAAAGAGTGCACTGGTGACAACTTTTGCTACTAACTAGAATGTGAAAAAATGGAAATTAAATTGACAGACCAGGCTAAGAGGCAAATAATAATCGGGAAGTTTTTAAATATATATAGTTTTTATCACGACATAGTTCAATGGTCACATTATATCACTTCCAATCTTTAACAACTAAATTTCAACTTAACTAGATCAGTTTGATTTAGTAAATTTACGTGATCAGAATGATTTTGAAATTATTTTTTATGTTAGTGTTATTAGATATAGTGAAAGCTAAAGTATCCATTGAAGTTGATGTAAGTAAAACTGGTAATGTCACACTAACTCATTCAGGGATAGAAGTTAACGTCATAACAGACGACGATATTAGACAATTTAATCTCAAAGATGCAAATTTAAAAGCAGCAGTGAGCAAACATTATAAAAGTGGAAAACCGAAAAACGTTTATCTCAAAAGTCCTACGCCCTGGGGCGATTTATATAAGACTTATCATTGGGAGCAAGTGTCAAGAGTGCTGTCGATTAAATCTGTAAGAGTAAAGAACCTCACTAAAAATCCTATAATAGTGATGTCCCAAGACTTCGAGAATCTATCAACTCAACCAGTAAAAGTCAACACGGGGATTTCACATACAATTGAGAATACACTAACAACGTCGTGGTCAAAAAATCAAGAATTTACCGTGTCACAAGAGATTTCTTACGATGTAAATTTAATTTTTGCTAAAGCATCTGGTACCACTGGCTTTTCTTACACTACGAATTGGGGAGTTAGTGAGGAGAAAACGAAAACTGAGACTGTCGGTGCAAATACAGGTATGGAGACTGAATTAAAGCCGGGGCAAGCGGTGACCGCTGTCCTTTCAGCAACCGCTGGTTTTCTGGAGATAGAAGTGATACATAAAATGTCTTTAAGAGGAAACTTGGCAGTGAATTTCAGGAATCCCTTTAAGAACCATCATTTCTGGGGTCCTCCTATACTGTCTGTTTTAAGGAGTGGGGGTATGGCTACTGAAAAAACTACAATAGAGACAATTAAATTCGGTTATCATGTTGATGCTTCACTTAAAGTTTTTGACAAAAATACTGGACTGCCTCTGTGAATATATATTGCAGACAAGGAATTAAAGATATAAGAGATATTATACTAATAGTTTTTTATTTCTAATCACTTAATCAAGTACCTAATCGATGGCGGATTAAGAGTACGAAGTGTCACCATCCCGTGGGTGTCATAAGAGCCGACTAAGAGAACAAGCTATGCAGGACAACAGCATTGCAAGGGGAAGGAAAACTTGACGCAAACCGTACATCAACCCGTTTGGCCAGAGTAGTATAGTAGGCTAAAACCTGTCTTCTAAGTAGACTATTGGACACTATTGGAGCAGTGGACTATTACAGGCTGTTGGTGTCTGTGTGATGATGATATGAATCAAGTAATGCAGAGAAGTTTGGGTAGCGAACTATAGGCATGACTGAGAGAATTTCTAAAAGGTCTCATTCCAATAAACTTGTTAGACGCCTTTCAAATTTAACATGGCAACATATATACAGTACAACTAATTGCTAAAATTTATCTTCCAACAAAGTACAGTACAATTTTTTTTAAGTAACGTGTGAGAGCCATACTTCGACTCAATAATAATAAAAACTTCAGATACCTCGAATACCGATACCTCGATTTCGACCCTAAGAGGTCGATAATATCGACCTCTTAGGGTCGAAATCGGTTGCCAAGGGGTAGACGTAATCAAAAACTAATTTTTGGGGTTGGCACGAAATCGACCCATATTAATGAACACAGGTTCTTGTTTGAATTAATTTTAAACTTTCAAGCAAGACGATAAGCGTGCACTACTTTTACTATGGGGGTCTAAAGTATCAGGTCATTTCAGAAAAGGGCTCTCTTGCCCAAAATTGTTTGAGACCTGCACTAAACCAACAGGTCAGTCAAACAAATAGGCTGGCTCAACCCAATTCCCCATCTTCCTTTCCCTATTTGTATATATACCTTCTTCCTTTATTCCGTCTAAAATAAATTACATTCTACAAGTTCGTCGGCTTTAAAAAACTAGCCAAAATCTTTTCCAATATTACAAATTGTGCTGACCCTAAATAAAATTGTGGAAAAGATAATAAAAATAATGACTGACTTAAATCAAAAAGTTTCATTCCAGCAAGAACTTGGCTCGTTTAAATACAACAAGAGTATCAACATTATATTAAATTAAACTCAACTATAGAGGTTATATTTTGAAAGCTGTTCCACGACGAGCATTCTCCAAATACAAAGCATTACTTTTGTTAGACACGCGTGCGTCAAATCGTCATTTGTTTGATGGCCTGACTCGATCGGACCTTTTGTTTGCATGTGACTCTCTATCTCCGTAATCAACAATGTCCTTGCCCTTAATTGAATGTGCCGGGCCTCTTATTGTGATGTCGTGATGAGTATTATTTAGGAGATTTCGTAAGTCATTAATTGATTCTGGTTTTATGGGTACATAAGAAAATTGTAATGAGTTGTTATTAAACGGAAACTTTCGGCTGGTCATGTGGTTTTCTTATTGGGTCTGTTAAGTGTAAATCGTGAAAGGTAAATGTACATATTATTATAATTTTAAATAGCAATAACAATAACTAGAGAAATTTACAAGTTTTTCAAGTTCTGTATTGTACAGGCTCCGTCTAATTTGGGATCAGACAGCCTACAAGACTTTTGATAAACATACTTTAATATTAGTAAATACATTTTATTGGTTATTATTAACTAATTTTTAGTTTAGTCACTTTAAACATTGACAATCGTAGTCCCACTGAAGTTCTAAAAACCCTAATTTATAGTAAAAAAAAATAGTTAAAGAAAAACTAAAACAAGTGAACTAAAGACCGGGAACGCGCTTGTGACTCCTGAATTGCAGGTGCTCATGGGCGGCGGTAGTCACTTTCCAACAGCTGACCCGTCTGCTCGTTTGCCCTCTCTTCCATAAAAAAAATGATGTTGGTCGTACAGTATGTAGTGTACACATTTAGTAGGTATTTTACAGGTTAAGAGGTATTGACGTATATAAAGACGTGTTGTAGTGAGTAGTTGTAGACATGTGTGTTATCTTCTGACCCTTTGCTCCAATTTATCAGGTTGGCGCAATAAGTTTTCTTTAATCAGTATAAACATTTCGGACAACTGACACACAACGCCATCTAGTTTCAAACTAAACAGAGCTAGTACTATGAAAGCTAGATTGACGGATAGAATAATTACATACTTACTTTTTTTTGTGAATACATACATATCAAGTCACATACGTATGCCAGAGGGTTACCGGCATTCTCAGAACATTATATCGCCTGATAAACTTTCTTCCAGTGAAAACTAAGACAGCGCTGGTGCAATCTCTTATCTTCCCTTTAATCGACTATGGTGACGAGTGCTGTTATGACCTAAATGCAGATCTTCTCAACAAGCTAGATCGTCTTATCAATAACTGCATTCGATTTATCTTTAATCTTCGTAAGTATGACCATATCTCCAGTTTTCGTTCCCAGCTAAGACGGTTACTTATTCGTCAACGTAGAGAAAATGCGCGCACTCACAATTACCTATATACACTATCCTCAATTCCCCTTCTTCTCCTACTTACTAAACAACACAATTTCAACTGTTATGCAATAACTACAATACGAGTAGAAACCTTCGTTCGGCCAACAATCTCCGTCTACTCTGTCCTTCTCACACCACTGGGTGTGTCGGTGTTCGTTCTTCGTCCAGGCTGTCCTCTTGTGGAATGCGCTTCCCTGCGAAGTGAGGATGGCCACAAATCGGTACTCTTTTAGGACGAAAGTCAAAGAGCTTTTGCTAAGTGAAACGGCAGATTCAACGAGCTCCTAGTTCATCGCCTAAAATTATTACATTTTTTTATAATATATATGTACTAGTGCAAAAAGTTCTAAAATTATAATAAAATAAAATATTTCACTTAGAAAACACCCAAACTCCGAAACTAATATCTGCAGATCATACAAACATTTGGTCCGACCCGTGAATCGAACCCCAGGCCTCTGCATAGCAGTCGCATACGCTACCACTGCACCACCGAGGCACTCTTCTAATACTCGCCGTCCTCTGTCATGTGGTCATTCATTACAAGGCTTTTTTTATGGCTGGCGGTATACCTTACGCCAGCCCTTCTTGGGATGCAATCGTTCTTCGTTTATAATTTCTTCGTTCTTTGTTAATTATTGTAGAGATGTATATATTTTGAAAATTTTAAACACAGAGGTACAATCTATACTAATATTATAAAGCTGAAGAGTTTGTTTGTTTGTTTGTTTGTTTGTTTGAACGCGCTAATCTCAGGAACTACTGGTCCGATTTGAAAAATTCTTTCAGTGTTAGATAGCCCATTTATCGAGGAAGGCTATAGGCTATATATCATCACGCTAAGACCAATAGGAGCGGAGCACCAATGAAGAATGTTTCAAAAACGGAGAAAATTTATTCCTATTGAGAGACGCAGACGAAGTTGCGCGGGTCAGCTAGTATATTATAATGGCACTGATTTATGTTATTCCACATACAGTTTACTAAAGAATTCAGTTCTATCTTCAAAACATAATTATCATGTATAAATGAGTATTTTACTTATGGCAACAAAGCTCAAATTCAACTGTCCTACAATTGGCCTCAGTGAGTACCATTAGATCCTAACGCCATCGTCAGATCAGCTCTAGGGAATTACGATTCTAAGTAAGACTTCCTGAAGTAGTTTTAGCCTCGCACAAACAACCTGTAGAACAAATTATCACCTGCAGTATTTCCAGACCAATACGACCATCAAGAAAAGAGCGTACTCCTACCTACTGCGCTGTTCTGGGTTCGATCTCCACATGGGACGACACTTTGTGTGATCCACAAATTGTTGTTCTGAGTCTGGGTGTTTTTGTGCCCGTTTCATGTATGTTTCTGGAGCCTCCCGCGGCATAGAGTGAATTGCTAGTACGGAAAATGCTTTTTTAAAAATAAGAGCTGGCAACGCACTTGTGACTCCTGAACTGCAGGCGTTCACTGTCGGAGTAGTCACTTTTAATCAGGTGACACGTCAGCTCGTTAACCCCTATATCGTAAAAAAACTAATGATGTATCACCCGTCACTGGACGGGGGACCAGAATTTGCATCCTCCTTTCAGCTCAATCGGATACCAAGAAGTGATCTGTAATATTTTTTTTCGGTCATCAGACACACACCGCCATCTAGTTTCAAACTAAGCAGAGCTTGTACTATGAAAGCTAGATTGACTGATGGAATACTTAGGTACATATTTTTTTTGTAAATAAATACATATTAAACATAGAAAATATTTGCAGGTCATACAAAAATGTGGTCCGAGTCTTATACGTTACCACTGAGGCAATTAAAAACGGTAAATGCTTTGCAAATTTTGAAAACATTTTCAACATCATCATCAGCAGCCCTTAACAGTCCACTGCTGGACATAGGCCTCTCCTTACAAATGAGGTTTTGGCCTACTATTCCACGCTGGCCAGACGGGTTTGTATAGGGTTTGTTTCAAGTTTTCCTTCTTTTTGCAGTGCTGTTGTTTTGCATAAAACATTTTGCAAAAGTATATTTACCTAATACAATCTTTCATTATTATATACACCTAATTTCATTATTATGTTGCTACATATTCACTTGCCAAATCCACAGCCATAAACCCAATTCACCATGTCCCACGGCATCATATCCAATAAATAAACACGTCATAATAATATGACAAGGACCGTAAACCAATTTCATGTTGCGACATACTTGAGTGAAGATTCAGTTGCACGATTGGTGGATCACTGTACATATATCGTATGGATAAAATTCCATACTACGAGCCATTTTATAAATTCGAAACTGTGTCTGTCTGTCTATCTGTGTGTCTGTACCTCTCCACGTTTAAATCGTTGAACCGATTTAGATTAAATTTGGTATAGAGATAGTTCGAGTCCCGGGCAAGGACATAGAATAGTTCTTAACTCAAAAATTATCCTTTAAGGGGGTGAGAAGGGGTGTGGAAGGTTGTATGGGAAATCAACAACCGCTGAACCGATTTTGATGAAGTTTGATATGGAGATAGTTTGATTCTTGAGGAAGGACAAAGGCTTATTTTTACTGCGATGACCGATATGCACGCGACCGAAGCCGCGGGCATAATCTAGTCATAAAATAAAGTACTAAGTCTGTCTGAACGCTATTGCAATATTACTAATTAACTTAACTGCAAAAGTATAAACTTTGTTATTGATTATTTGACTCACCTGTTGGTCTAGTGGTTAGTGACCCTAACTGCTAAGGCGAAGGTCATGAGTTTGATTCCCAGCCAGGACAAAAAATTGTGTGATGAGCACGATCATTTGTTATGTGTCTGGGTGTAATTCACCTATAATATGTTTTATGTATTTTGAAATGTATAAGTATGTTTATCAGCTGTCTGGGGAGAGATGTAAAGTTGTCTTTATTATTATTATTTTCATATGGTTTTCGTCAATGGCTAAAGTCGTTCATTAAACTTTGTATAACATACAAACACTGCACAGCCTGCACACTTTGACTGCCTGCCGGTGGTTCAATGGTAGCGTATGCGACTGTTGGGCTGACCAAATGTTTGTATAATCTGAACATATTTGATTCAGCGTTTGGGTGTTTTCTGTGTAATATATATGTTTTACAAAAAAGTATATAAGTATTCTATCAGTCAATCTAGCTTTAATAGTACAAGCTCTGCTTAGTTTGAAACTAGATGGCGTTGTGTTTTAGATGTCCGCAGTATAAAAATGTCTGAAAATAAAATTATTTCAAATAATAAAAATTCTAATATAAAATACATACGCAGACCCATATCCGATAGATAGAAGCGTATTAAAAGCTCAAGTTTTGCAAACTATAATTTTAACACTTACTTTACACATTTTAAAACTAGAATTAGTAAGGTACGAGCCCTGTAACTCTACTTCTAACTGCCCTATATCTAAATACCTAACCCTCTAACTAAACATATGATTGTTGTTGTAAAACGTCAGATTTTCTTTTTATTTCACTTTCACTAGCAGCGTAATTTTTTGATTTATTCTTTAAAAGCGTTAAAACAACGACTACATGTTTTTCTTCTGAGATGTTTTTCTTCTTTACAGAGAATTTTGGGATACGTTGCGTTGCCTCTGCGAAGGCAACGGAACGTATCCCAACGGGGATGGGAACGGGGTGGGTCGATAGTGTGCCATAATCAGCATCACAGATCTCTCGATCGTGCATCTAACAAAGACTTTTGTATAGATTTCCTTGTTTGGATAACTTCCTTATGTCCCTTTTTCAAGTCGAAAAGTTAAAAAGATTCAACTAAAAGCCAGGTAAATTATTAACAATGTTGGAATAGATAATTTATATGATGCGGTGAGATGGAGTCGGGTTGTATTGATAACCGAATTCAAAATTAAGGTGTTCTTTAGCCGTTCTAATTTGTATTAAATTTGCGGATTCCTTTAGGACTTTTAAGTCTATTTGATCGCCTATGAAAACAGTGATGATGTTATTATTATCATGTAGTTCTACGTTCCTACTCTTCCCCTAGTCCTAGTGGCTAAACTACAAATAAGTAAGGCCACCTGCCTGCTGGGTTAGTGATCCTTACTGCTAAGCCTGAGGTCGCTTAATTCGATTCCCACCCAACAACACAAATAATTGTATGATGAGCACGATCATTTGTTCTGTGTCTGGTTGTATTTTATCTATAATATGTATGAAATGTATGAGTACGTTTGAAAGCAGTCTGATTACCATAGCATAGGAGCTCACCTTAGCATGAGAGCCTGATCTCCGTGTGGGAATTTTGAGGATATTATTATTACATAATAATAGTCAGGGGTGCAGAAAAAACATAGGTGGACTAAATGTTATCCAAAAAGCAACCGAGGACTTTAGGGACATAAAAACAACTTTTAGGTGATCGAAACTGCGAGCAATAGTTAGTATTACTAGTAATGCAGAGGTCCGACTCAGGATAAGCACCATCTTTAACCCTTTTATTAGTCTGTCCTGTGCAAAAACTTGCTAACCGTGATTATACCTAGCTTATTACCTTTATTTAGCTTATTACTTATAGCTTCATTACTATATTCTGTATAATTTACATTACCTTGAGCTGTAAAAGTCTAGACTAGTCTTTATTTTTAATATCCAGTTGACATTCATATGTCCAGTTCCTAATACGGTGCAGCGTGAAGATACATTGTTACATATCCAGAGCACTAAGTGTCGCCACACGCATGCTATCAAGGCACAATGAACGTGAAATACACAATACTTGTTTGGAACTTCTCAAACTAAACAAACGCTTTAAAGCTGATGGATTAAGGTTCAATATTCGACTGCAGTAGGTTGTATTGGGTGTGAAGAAAAGCTTGTTGATAGAAAGGCATTGTAAAATTTGCCAAGTATAAATAGCTGATGAATTGAAGATGTTACCATTCGAAGATCACCACTCATTTCGAGTCGTTTCATCTAGGTAAGTTCCAAAAAGTCTTAGTAGAAGATTTTAATCAACTATCTCAAAAGACAGCATCTCAAACTATCTGGTAATAGGAAAAAGTTGCATTTGTACTTCGTATCGATTCAAATTTAGAAATTGAGACATGTTTTCAAATTTAAAAAAATAATTCATAGAAACAACTTTAATTAATTTTTCTCAGAAATTGATTTGAATAAATTTCTGATCCTTTTTTGTTATTTTTAAGTAAATGTACAGGAAATAGTTAACATATGAATACATAAAGTAAATTAATCAAACTTTATTAAGAAAGGAATAATCTTTATTTAATTTTAAATTTTGACATTTATTTCAATAGAACTTTTTTGAGCTTTAGGAATTGTCTTCACTAACCTTTAAATTAAAAAATATCATAAAAAAAATTGTAGGACTAACATTGTAAAAACAAAACTGACTTTTTGCTTTGAATCTTTTTTTAAATATTAAATCCTGTTTATTATTCAAAAAGATAAAAATAAACTATATACCATTTAAACCAAACTTGAAAATATACTATAATTCGGTATTCATATCTTGGTCTTTCTTCTACATTTTTTTTTTAATTTCAGATAATTTTGCAGATTGATATTAATTTAATAAAATGAAGGTAAGAAATTATATATCTATACTAATTTTATAAATGCAAAAGTGTGTTTGTCTGTTGTCTGTTACCTCTTTCTCATGCTTAAGCCGCTGAACCGTTTTAGATGAAATGTTGTATACTGATAACAGTTTCAAGTCCCTGGAAAGGACATAAGGTAGTTTTTATCCCAGAAATCAAGAGAGGGAGTGAAAAGGGGGGTGGCAGTTTGTATGGGCAATCAATAACTACTGAACCCATTTAGTTGAATTTCGGCATGGAGATATTTTGATTCTTGAAAAAGGACATATGACTTTTTCAATGACATATAAGCGGGCATAAGCTAGTTATCCATAAATTTATTTTGAATACACATACTGAACAAGTAAATAAAATATTGTCTATACAACTATTATAAAAGGGTACCTTAAGCTCGCTTCTTCGCACTTAAGGACCTAAATATTTTTTATTTGTTTATTCAAGACCTTTATTATGTTCAAAATTGTAATCTGTCCATTTCACCAAATATGTTCAGTGAATGGCGACAAATAACACATTCGTTATAAAATATGAAATTTATGTAAAATTAGGGTAGCTCCCATACTTAAGTTTTCAGGTTATTCAGTCGTTGCCAAAATTAATTTGCTATATGTTTTGAATTTAACACTAAAATATAAGGTTTTTTTTATTTCAGACGTTTATACCATTCATATGTATCCTATCTCTAACTGCCGCCGAACCTCCTGTTGGGTAAGTCGAAAATACAATTTTTATGAGAAAAGAATAGTGGAGAACCAGTTTTTTATGACTCAAGAATACAAAGAAATGATCCTCTGACTAGGCGAGGTGATCATGTCTTTTGGACCTCAGCCCAACAGTCGATATTGGGCAGTTGTGTAATTTATATTAATCGGCGCGAAATCTTCAATCTATACTAATATTATAAAGCTGAAGAGTTTGTTTGTTTGTTTGAACGCGCTAATCTCAGGAGCTACTGGTCCGATTTGAAAAATTATTTCAGTGTTAGATAGCCCATTTATCGAGGAAGGCTATAGGCTATATATCATCACGCTAAGACCAATAGGAGCGGAGCACCAATGAAGAATGTTTCAAAAACGGAGAAAATTTATTACTTTTGAGAGACGCAGACGAAGTTGCGCGGGTCAGCTAGTTAATATATTTCTGTTTGGATGTTTGTAAAAGTCGCATCAGCAGCATCGCATAATATATCGATTGATCTTTTGGTCTAATGGTTAGTGACTGGCTGACAAGCCAGAGGTCGTGGGTTCGAGTCCCACCCAGGACAAATATTTGTGTGATGAGCACGATCATTTGTTTCGTGTGTGGGTTTGAATTTATCTAAAATATGTACCTATGTATTTAAGAATATATAAATATGCAGCAGTCTGGTTACCGTAGTACAGGCTCTGCCTAGTTTGAGACCATACAGCCGTCTGTGAGATGTGTAAAGTATTTTTTTTTGTAATTCCAGTGATGGATATCCTTCAGCACGCTCAAGTCATGACCATAAACACCACCATGATCACAGCCATGACCAAAGCTATGATTTCCAGAGATCTCTCTCCCAAGAATATCTGCCTCCCACTACTCGATCCTTCGGAACATCTCGTAATACACTTTCTAATGAATATGGAACACCAAACGCAAGAACTGCAACCTCAAGATCTGGGGTCTCCCAAAGCTATGGACCCCCAAACCTTTACAGTGGTGTTTCTCAGGAATACGGTGTACCTAACTCAAGATCCTCAGCCCACTATTCATCAGCGTCAAGAGGTCTTTCGACTGAATATGGAGCTCCGAACGCCCGTTCTAGTTTCTCACAGTCCTATGGTGCCCCAACTTCCAGGAACAGCTTGTCTCAGGAATACGGTGTTCCATCTGATATTGCCAGAATACCTTTGGAAGAATATGGAGTCCCTGAACTACGTACTCCATCTGAAGAATATGGCGTACCTTCACAAAGGAGTTTTGGACAAACACCTTCCCAGAAATACGGACCTCCAACTTCTCGCATCTCTCCATTCTTTGGGAATTCACTTTCCCAAGAATACGGAGTCCCCTCAGCTCGATCTGGAGATTATCGCCAAAGTCACGCTACACCCAAAAGTATTTCCAAGTCTTTCTCCTCAAGCAACTCGCGGTCTTTTAAGGGATCTTCCCAATTTGGAGCCCGTTCTCTTTCAACCAGCTATGGGGCTCCCACTGCACGGAACTTTGACTCTTATTCCCAAGAACCTAAACCCCTTTCTCAGACTTATGGAACTCCAATACAGCAAGACGTATCGGATACCTATGAAGTGCCAAGTGCTAGAGGTGTCTCTCAAAAGTATAGCGTACCTGCTGGTCGTGCTGCCGAGAAGAAGACCAGCGCCATTGCATCATCTTATCCGTCTGCTGCTGCCAGGTTTGTTGTTTAATGCAGAAATATTACATTACATTACATATTTTTGAACCACCGAAATAGGGGAAGAGGAAGTAGACCAATATGGATTGTGTACAATATATTACAATCCTTTATTCAAGCAGTTTGTTTGTTCTTCAATGTTACATCAGAATTAACTTCTTTCTTTCATAACGTGGATGGGTCTTTAATCTAAAACTACCATCATTTACATTCCGTTCCAGGTCTTCTCCGTCAGACACTTACGGTCCTCCTGCAGCAAGAGGCTCCATGCCCTCAGAGCAGTACGGTGTCCCGGACCAGTACAGCAATCTCTCCAACCAGGGTTACTCTTATGCCAGAGATGCACTTAATGAGATACTAAACCAGGTATTTTGATTTTTTTTATACTAGTTGAGAAAGTAAAGTGTGATCCACAAATTGTCTGGGTATTCTTTTTATCTGGCTCATGTATGTTTGTAAAGTCACAGGACACAGGATATATTCCTAATGAGGGAGTTGTTTTTTTTAAAGAAAAAGAAAAGAACATTATAGCTTGGCGGTAAATAGGCATCTTAGAAAATAGTAATGAAAACGTTGCCATATACAGATGGTTTTTATTTTTAACGTCACATACAAATTGTTGTATGAACTGAGTTAAGATTCTTAAAAAAAACAGTCAGGTAATTTAAATAAAGTCCTCAGGTTTAAAGAGTTCCTTATGGCTCAATAAAATATGTATTCACGGGTTCGATAAAATAAAAATAAAGTTACCTTATGTATCTTAGTATACATGGTTTTAAAATACACGAATTTGATCAACATAAATAAGTTGGAAAATGAGTACTTTATATAACTTTACCAAGCAAGCGTTTCCCGGCGCCTAGAGGAACTGCAGTACTAGTTTACCACTCCTGTATGTTGCCAACCAAGCCCATAATATAGTTTTAATGACTGTTCATCTGGAGAAAATAATATTACTATGCTTACTAACTATACTTTATAGAATTGAGGTATTACACCAGTCAGACAGCTCCAACTCAAGCCTTAAATCATCAATATATGTGTCAACGTGAGAAACCAACAAAAGACATCAACGCGCTCTGTGCTCTATCAATGTTATATTTTTGTTCAAAGGAACCTGCTAACTATGACTTCGCTTACAAAGTAAACGACCTAGAGTCAGGCAGTGACTTTGGGCATACAGAGACACGCCAAGAAAACAGGGCTGAGGGATCATACTTCGTCGTATTGCCTGATGGCACTAAACAAGTGAGTTTTAGATGTTTTGCATTCCTCAGTGCATTGGACGGCCATGATGGCATTTTTGATTCGATTTCGGGTCAATATAAATATTTGTACGAATAAGTATGTCTATCTGCTTTAGCCTGAGAGTTTTTGTGTAATCTATACTAACATGATTTGTTTGTTTGGTTGAACGCGTCAATCAAAGGAACTACTGGTTCAAATAGAAAAGTTCGTTTAGTGTTAGATAGCCCGTTTATTAAGGAAGGCTATAGGCTATATTTAATCATGCTATGACCAACAGGAATGGAGTATTAATGAAAACTATTAGTAAAAACGTGGAAAATGTATTCCTTTTGAGAGACGCAGACAAAATTGCTGAGCCAGCCAGCTGTTTACAAAAGCTTTGTACAATATATGTATTTTGTCTGTTAGAGTAATCGTTTTTCAAATCGATTTCTGGATAAAACTCCCTATTTATTCTTTAGACTCAAGACAATATGTCGTGATACACAAGACGTGAAATTCTAATGTCTACCACCACAAATTATGAATATGAAAAATTCACAGATCGTGGAGTACGAGGCTGATGAGCGAGGCTTTAAGCCTAGAATATCCGTAGAACCTGCAGACCTGGGCCGCTCAGCTGGATATGACGAGAACGCTGCAGACTTGTCCAAATCTGCTGATGGACCGTACTAATGACCAAAAGAAACAAAAGGGATGGGAAGTATTTAAAAAATACCTCGTTTAGCAAAAGCATAAATTAAAAAAGACCGTCTACAACTAAACAGCAATTATTTTACTATGGAAAAATGTTATTAAAATGAAAAAGGAATTTTAATTCCAATAAAAAAATAACTACAGTTCATAAGTTCAAATTTTCATTCAAGAATAAACAGGAGAAAATTGTCTTATATGAGTAAGAAAAAAAACATAAAATTTCATGTATCCATACAATATCTAGATACAAAAAAAAGCCTACTTTTAAAATTGCAATTACTTTTCTTTTATATATAATATTCTTCTACTCATTCTATTATTCTTATGTCATTCTTTAAAACCTTGGTTGTCTGCTGGTTGTACATTTTTCATAAGTTTAACTGTATGAACATATATTAACTTATTGAAGAAAAATAAATAATAATTTTCTCTTAAAATAGTCAATGGTAATAAAATGTGTTATTCATCCCTAAATTTCACCCTTAGAAGTGGATTATTTTCTCTAAATTTAACTGACTAAATAAATTTAAACTTTTAATACAACGGTACACTGCGATACGAACGTAGATATCGTTATAAGATATTGTTCGCACAAAAAATATATCGAGACCCAGTATTCGAATGAAGAACTTCCTCTTTCTTGAAATTAGTTAAAAATAAAATAAATCTACACATTTTCTTATCAGATGTGACTTTATTTAATCATTTTTAGGAGTATAATTAAATGATAAAATTTATTTCTTTATAATGTGATAAAATTTATTTTTTAAATCAATTATGTATATGTATGTATTTATTACTTGTATATCATTAATTATAGTTTAAAATTCATTTCATTCATTCTTCATTTATTTTCTATATTATTATTCTCTTTTGGGTTGTTTAATATATTTATTTTATAATATATAGTAAAGTATATAATATTACATTACAGTAGGAGCCACCGATAGTAGCAGTAGATTCGACTAAATGCTTCTCATTTCATAAGGGGTTTCAAATGTGTTGTAAAATACAAAATGGCTACGTCAAAGGTGAAATGTTTGTAAAATACTCAAAGATTTATTTATTATTTATAGCAAAATTAAAATGTGTAAAAAAAGTGAAATATACCTCGTAGTCTTAAGCTGCTTTGTGATGTAGTGATTTAGTGCAAAATAAATGTCATTCTTGCAATATGTTCTTTATTATTTAAGTTATACTCGTATATCTTATTAGTGCGTCCGTGTGGTAACGGATTAAGAATACAGAGTGTCACCACCCCTGTTCATTCCGTGGGTGTCGTAAGAGGCGACTAAGGGAGCAAACTACGCAGGACAACAGCACTGCAAAGAGAAGGAAAACTTGAAATAAACCTTATACCAACCCGTCTGCCAAGCAAGGTATAGTAGGCCAAAACCTTATTTCTAAGGAGAGGCCTATGTCCAGCAGTGGACTATTAAAGGCTGTTGATGAAAATGATTTCTTATTATCAGTTGTATTTACAATTCAAGCAGAACATAACGTTCAGAAAATTAACTTCAATTATTTTTATGAACTAAAAAAATATTTAAATATCAGAACTCATGAGTACCAGAAATTATGGAGTGTATAGGCTAGGAGAACATCTTTGTGTATGAAAGTTTCCGTAAAAACTAGTCCAATAAGTGTGGCGCTGCAGTAGCCCAGGATAAATTAAAATTAGTTTAAATAAAAATTAGGAACTGTGTACTACACTGCGAAAATAGTCAATGAGTTTTACAAACAATAAAGAAACGTGTAATAACTTTCATATAGTAAAAGTATTTTACTATTTTAACTCAGCAAACTTCACTCCTCCAATAGCTACTTGTATGTTCGTTTTTCGTACGCCAGTGACCTTTTTTTTTTTTTGGGAATCCTGAGTTGCAGACGTTCATGTGCGGCGATGGTCACTTTCCATCAGGTGACCCGTCTGCTCGTCTGCCCCCTCTAACATAAAAAAAAGTATATAACTGAAAACTTTTTCAACTTTCCCCCCTTAAGAGATAGTTCGCCTTGCCCCCTTCATACAAGAAACGTACAAACAAGATACAGTCTTAATTTTAACACTTATGCATTCAATATTTTAATGATATAAACATTTACAGAAAACTAGTATTAGATCTGTAAATCATAAGCCACATAGAAGTATCCAGGATCCGTAGCCCAGATCCTGATACCAGAATAACGTACACATAAAATAAAGATATTTACGTACTTTCCTATTGTATACGCCCACGGTTTCGAGATCTGTATAATATCACCTTCTACTACACTACAAACAGAGAATAAAAGACAAAAAGGTAAACTCCACTCATATTAAAATATATATAATAAGTTATATATAAAGGACAAAAACAAATTTTATTTGGGACTTTGTTCTTGTGGTGGTTTTATCGTTTGCGTCAGAAAAAAGTTTTTATGGTTTTCGAGAGTATGTAAGTACATTTTTTGGCACACTCTGTGACCTTAAAGGCTTGATAGTTTTTGGCTTGGGAGGTGTCGTTAAATTCGTCTTAATTGTGAAAGTGACACTGGGTGTATAAAAATTGTAAAAATTAAAGTACCAACGTGAGAATTCGTTTCCCTCACTACGTGGTCTACTATGTTTATTTATTAATAACTATTTTATGCATATTTTTTAATGGTAAACTCAATGCCATAGACATTTTCTACAAGTCTGTTATAACATTTAAATTAAGAATTCTAAAGTAAATTAAAGAACTAAAAACGAAGAAAAGGATTCAAAGACCTGGAAAAAAACTAGGATGAACATAAAAAGGAATTGTATAAATATATCTACATATACATACAAATATATACATGCTGGTACCCGCGACTTCGTTTCGCTTGGAATTTGAAAAGCGCTGCCTCAGTGGTGTAGTACGGTATGTGACAGTCCATGAGGCCTCGGGTTCGATTCCCGGACGAGGCAAAATTTTATAGGGTTTTTTCTGAGAGGAAAAATAGCCTTGGTTACTCCTTATTTAGTCAGCTAAATAGTAGTAAAATGTTATCAAAATCGGTACAGCGATTTTGAAGATAACCCGGCACAAAAAGACAAACTGACAGACTTTACATATTTAAACTTGTTTTTAGGCATAGGTATTGTGCAAATAACCGTGTGACCGTGAAAAAAAAACCTATTACTCGTATTTTGACATTACAAACAGCCACGTCAATTTCATTTATTTGTATAGATATATACGTCGATAGCTTGTAATTTCCTCTTGAACGAATGGCGACTCGTTGTCTTTCTGATATCCTGGAGAACACGTTTCTAGAGTAGGATAGATTGAATAAGGAACGAAGAATGAACACACGCAGAAGTATAAGAAGAGCATAACAGAAGAAGATAATTTGTAGTACGCGGAGTTTATTTTTAGAATATACACGATCATAAACACGGTTTATTTCCAGTAGTTCCATGAAGTCAGTTCCACATGCTGCTGATGTAACCTTAAATATGTGATTTTTGTACCATTACAGTTTTACAAAACCCTAATAATTATGTTATAGTAATAACATCAGGAATTACACTATTATGTTATTGAGATAAAGAATAAGTGTGTATGTAAGAATAAATTTGTCTTTGTGTGATCACAATCTTATTTAAAGTTTAAATCGACTTTATTTTTTAATTTTACTCTACAAATCATCTAAAAACATAGCCCGAGATGTTCTGTCAGTATGGAATTTTGTACGGAATCCTCTGTGAGCAAGATAGATTCACGCTTGTTAGTTTTTGTTTAGTTTTGTTCCCTTTCTTAATCCAATTTCTTTCCTTCTGTTCCTTCCTTCGTTCCTCCTCTGTCCTTTATCAGGTAGGCATCTTGACACAAAAGAAAATCCAACCAAAATCCTTTGTCATGCTTCATATGGCGCCAACCTAAAAAAAACTAGAAAAATGCAGGCAGATGATAATCACTAGGGGTAACTCTTTCTTTCTTTCTTTTTTTAAAAGACAACTCCCGCATTAGGAATATCGCGGGGGACTTTATATACATTAATGAAACGGATACAAAGTCCCGGACTCAGAGCAAAAATTTGTGTATCACACAAAGTGTTATCCTATGTGGGGATCGAACTCACAACACACTGCGCAATAAGAAGCGGCGAGGTGCCCGCTGAGACAACTGCGCCATCAACTTTACTCTGTAGTAAGAAGATAACTATCATACAACGTGTATGTATGTATGTGTACTACATAATAGATAATAAGATTATTATTAATAAGATTATATATAGATAGAAACTATATGGGTATTGTCAGCTGTGAAGAACCTAAGTAAAGACGACCGGATGGCGTATTGATTTGTGTAACGGACTGCTATTAAAAGGTCGCGGGTTCGATTCCCACTCAAGTCAAACATTTGTGTGCATGAACATTTTATGTTTGATTTGATCTGGGTGTTTCTATGTATAAAAAGTATGTATTTACAAAAAAAATGTATATATGTATTTATTTATATTTATATTTTTTGTTTTCTAGTAACCATAATACAAGCTCTGCTTAATTTGGGACTAGATGGCGTTGTGTGAATGTGGTAGAATATTTTATTAAACAAAAAAAAGATAAAAATATACCGTTTTAATAAATCTCTATACGCATAAAGACGAGCCTGTTGTTCTAGTGGTTAGTAATTTTGACTCTTAAGCCGGAGTGGGTTCGATTTCCATCTAGGATTAAATAATTGTGTCACGATCATTCGTTCTGTGTTTGGGTGTAATTTATCTATAATACTTATGTATTTAGAAATATATATGAATGTTTATTAGCAGTCTGGTTACCATAGGCTCTGCTTAGTTTGGGATCAGAAGGTCGGCTGTAAGATGTGTGAGATTAAAAAACTAGTTACTGAGAAGAAATCTCTACGCACACTGTTCTTAATGTAATTAATGGAGATAAGTCATTACCCGTAATAGTTATTCCACCACAAACATTTTCATGTAAAATGTTGCCAAGGCGAGACCATATGGCTCGCAATGTCAGAGTTATCAGATCTCATGTAGAAACAAGGTGCTAACTCTAGAAGGCCTTACTTCACAAACTCTACAATTTAGTCGTAATATGTGATTTGGGCGTTTCGTTACTAAAATAACTATAACAGAAAAGTAATGAACAGTGAAAATATTTTTTTCACCTTACCTTCATGTGACGGTAGCGAACCTAAGCCACATTATGGGTAAGGTGTAGGGTTTATATTATATAGAGAGATTTATAAACCAAATTAAACTAAAAAGTAAAAATTTCAGTATTAATGATTGAATTTCATTTTCAATCTTCTAGTTCCATCTGCTGATCATCTTTATCAAGTCCAGCTATGTGGGACTTCTTCAAACGAATCATTCCTACTACGCCGAGTGTTGTGGGTTCAAACCCCACATGGGACGACACTTTGTGTGATCCACAGATTGTTGTTCTGAGTCTGGATGTTCTTTGTGTCCGTTTCATGTATGTTTGTAAAGTCCAACGCGACACAGGATATATTCCTATTGTGGGAGTTGTCTTTAAAAAAAAACATCGAGCTTAAATTCAATGCGTCCATTAGAAACCACTGTAGTGTTCGACCATCCACCTTCGGGCTCTATGATCTGATTAGTTCTAAAATGACAAATTAGATAATTGCTGTCCAAACTACATATGTATACATATATTTTTAATATTATTACTCGACGACCGGATGGCGTAGTGGTTTGTGTAACGGACTGCTATTCCAGAGGTCGCGGTTCGATTCCCGCTCAAGTCAAACATTTGTGTGCATGAACATTTAATGTTTGATTTGGTCTGGGTGTTTCTATGTATAATATGTATGTATTTACAAAAAAAAAGTATATTATGTATTTATATCAGTTGTCTAGTACCCATAGTACAAGCTCTGCTTAGTTTGGGACTAGATGGCGTTGTGTGTATGTTGTAGATTATTATTATTATTATTTCAATACGACAGTGAGTGATTAATAGTGATTTTTAGGACTTTGTTAAACTAAGTTACCCACAAGTGAATCTAATAATTAAATATGCATAAATAAAATAATTGAAATAAAGTAAGTATTTATATCTTTGTAACTAACTTAAAAAAAAATGCAAGTGTTTAATTTGATTGTATTTTTTTAATGTCTGTTACCTCTGAACTCCGTAATTTGTGAACCGTGAGTGTGAAAGAGTATACTTACCGTTTCGTTTCATTGAAAAAACCCCTGAGAATAAAAAACTACGGAATGAAGAATACAAATAAGAAATAGGTGGTCTTAGAGATTACAAAAGTTTTGGGAAAGATTGAAGTTCAGCTCCAGGACCAAGACTTGGAAGTAATAAGGTCTATTTTAGAATATCAAATCCTTGAATACTAGTCACGATTAATTATGTTTCAAATTTAGATCAAGGTCATCTCAATGCAAACACCTATTATTAAGTATTAGGAAGCGACAAGTATTCATGTGTCGTGGGTACATCCTTGAGTTACGGTTGGGTTGGACAGGAAAACCGTGGAGTGGATGGATATTTAAATTTTATTTGCAAGTGGAAAAATGATTATATTTTATTAAGCGTAATGTAGAACAAGAGGGAGTTACTAAAAAAGTTATAGTGGTGGTTATAAAAAGTACGTGGTATTAAAGTACGGTTAGCGAAGAAACTTTTACATGGGACAACAAATAGGTAAGTTAGATTTGTTAAAAATAATGACTAATTAGTAAAATTGACATAACGCATGATTTTCAAAACGTTATGTCTGGAACTGTTATGGTATTGGCGTTACTATCATGACAGGTGAAAATAAATACATACATTGCATTTCTACTACATTGTCTACAGCTTTTTAATAGTCCACTGCTGGACATAGGCCTCTACTTAGAAAGGAGGTTTTATCCTACTTTACCACGCTGGCCAGACGGCTTGGTATAGGGTTTGTGTCAAGTTTTTCTTTTCTGCTGTGCTGTTGTCCTGCTTAGATTGCTCTCTTAGCCGGCTCTTACGACACCCACGGGATGAATAGGGTTGGTGACACACCGTATTCTTAATCCGTCACTACACGGCAATCTACTGTATAAAAGTATTAAATATTCTAAATATGATACGTTCATACTCAGTATTTGTTTAAAAGGGATTTAAGATCAGGAAATAAACTTAAGAATGAAACTTTTAGGATTGAGCCTAAAACGTTATTATTACGAAGGTGCTGTTACGGGATATATAAGTGAGAATTGCGACAAAACCAATTAGGCCCCTAATTTTTATTTTTTTTTACAGTATTCAACTAATGTGAAAATTTCTATTGACATTGATTTTTGATGAAACTGAACTGGAATAAGACTGTATACTTATCTTACGTATCTTACATAAAAAAATCTTTTTGTGTAAATACTTAACATTAGGTTTCACCTTTATGCTTGATTTTAGCAGTCAATTATTTATACCAATATGCAATTAAATATCTTCAACCAACACACTTTCAAAACAAGAACAAGACATTTTAAAGTTTCCCGACAGAGGTAGGACGAAACCATTTTAAACTAAACATTACTCCACGGTTTTCCGTAATCCAAACGTTATCGCCTTGAAAGCTCATCTTTTATGTCGCTAATGAGTGTCAATTTTTCATCCCCTACCATTAAGAGGTAGTATAAAAGGTAAGTGTAATGCAACAACAGTACCACTTGTTAAATTACAACATCTAAATAAACATACTTCAATATGAAGGTAATATTTTTTTTTTAAAGTGTTTAAAATTTTAAAACTTTAAATTGTAACTCTCTAGACAGAGAATTTAATCCAAAGTAACATTTCAATCTGACACAACTCTGTTTGTTTGATCTGAGTGTAATCCATATTTCTTTACTCATGTGAAAGTGAGTTTGTTTGTTTGTTAGGCTTTCATGCCTAAACTACTAAACCGATTTTAAAAATTCTTTAACCAATGGCAAGCTACATTATCTTCTAAAGATAAAAGAAAGACAAAATATGAAAGACGAAAAAAAATACGAGCCAAATTTTTTTATTCCCGCAATCTATTTCTGTAAGAAACTTAGCATCAATAGCTGAGACTGTAACCTAAACTTCTACTGTGTTTCTATTATTAGCTTAAAAAAATGATATATACATATGTTGATTATTATATATTTTTAATAATTACCACTTTACATTGTTTACTTAGTTACGTTTAAAGTTACATGCGAATCTTTTTCTTATTAAGACTACAAGTTAATTCATCCCTATAGTAGGTTAAATTGTTTTGGGTAACAAATCCATACTTATACTATAAATGTGAAAGTAAGTTTGTTTGTTTGTATATTACGTTTTCACGCCTAAAGCTATGTCTAAACCTAGAGCTATGTCTAATAATTACGAAATAATTATATTTTACATCTTGTGATAACCGATAAACTTTAATATGCAGTTTGAATACTTTATAATGTTATTTTACAATTTATCCAAAATTAAAATAAAAGCTACGATATCAAACGGTTGCAAATAATGTTACCAACTGGATGAAAACAAAATTTACAATTATGATAAATTTGTGTGATTGATATAGTTTTTTGTGAAATATTAATTTCAGCGGTAAAGGATTTATAATACAGAGTGTCACCACCCCTATTTATCCCGTGTGTCGTAAGAGCCGATTAAGGGAAGAAACTACGAAAGACTACAAAACTGCAAAGGGAAGAAAAACTTGAAACAAACCTTAGATCAACCCGTCTTCCCAAACGTCACCAAAACTTCCTGTCTAAAGAGAGGCCTATGTCCAGCAGTGGGGTGTTAGAGGCTGTTGACGATGATGATGATGATTTCAGTAGTATTAATATATTATTTCATATCAATATATTTCAGTCGCTTTCTAAATTTGTTGATTTTTTTTCAGAACATCGTTGCTTCTATGTTTGTTGTAGCGTTTGTGTATGCAGAGCTGCCACCAAACAGGTAACTAAAGAATTATCAAAATTTAAAAATGAAAATAAAGCTTCAAAATAGATGGTAAATAATAGTAATGGTAAAGATTTCAGGTTGGCAGACTTACAAACTCTCACACTCTGCCATGTGTTTTTTTACAAATTACCATTTTACATAAAAGTGAGAAATTACTAATAAAATTAACACTTATACTCTTTGTTTTAGTTACCTCCCGCCTCCACCAAGTAATCGCAACGGAGCAGGCTATCCTCATGGACCATCATCAGCTCTCAGTCAGAACTTCGCTCCTCAGGTAGTCGCCGCTCGTACCCTGGAAGGTGCTCAAAGCCCTCGCACTGGTCCAGTACATGGCGCTCACATTCCTCAATCCAATCCATTTGGAAGGTAAGATTATGGCGAACGAATATAATATTAAATTTTATGTGTTTACGATCATAACAATAATTGTCATTAGCCGTAATAGTAATTCACTAAACGTTTTTTATGTTTTTTAGTGTATATGTAAAGAAAATTTAATAGAAGGACACTTACTTAGGTGCGATATTTATAAATACCTAAATATTGTACATAGACCCACCCTATTAGACTGTCGGCGAACCACTTTCTTTATGAAAAATGTACAGTGAGTGTCTATGGAGGGACAGACCGACAGAGTTTATAGATGAGCATAAATCGTATCAAGAACTATCTAAAAACTCGATTGAAATATTGTTTTGCGGTAAAAAAAAACAGAGTCACTCCGGGAGTGCCGACATAAGTGAAAACTTGTTTTTTTCTTTTTTTTTATTATAACAACATTTTGTTTTGTTTTTTCGATTCTAAAAGTTCAGTTATGACTATACTCGTATAGTATATCTATGTTGTACGTATGTACACAATATATTATATATAATTATATTATCAATGTTTTTCAACCCTAACTCAACTCTCGTGTAAACGGGGCCAGTATCTGTACATAATTATAAACAGAGGTGTCAGTAACGGTAACAGTGTCACGAGTTCAATGGTTTTTCCCATCTCAAAAAATACATTCTTTTGTTTATTGTTTATAAATGCCTAACGCGCCTAACCAAGTTTTCAATTCAATAATATCCAACATTTACAGGTCCAACCACGCTTCACTATCCCAAAATCAAGCTGCTGGAAACTATGCTGCTTCAAGGTTCGCTAACGAAGAATCCGGCTACGATTCGAATGCCGCCAACTTTGCCAGGAATGCTATCGAAGAAAGAAATTCAGTAAGTGCATTTTGCCAAATCATTTTTTTCTTTTCAGTTTTTAAATTACAGTTTTAAAATCTAACGATACATCCACCAAAAAAGGAATCAAATAATCGAACCAATAGAAGACTAGCAGACACCTACTCATAGTGCCATCTAGTGAAGTCAAGTTGAACTACGTAGTCACGACTGATTCTATATCGCGCAAAGAGTTCCCGTAGTTATAAGTGTGAATCAACAAGACCCGTTGAGTCCCGTTTAGTCAGAAATTATGATCTTTTATGTTGCAAGGCAATCAATTTATATTTTTAGGGTTCCGTACCTCTACAGGTAAAAAAGGAACCCTTGTAAGATCACTTTCTTGTCAGTCCGTCCGTCTGTCCGTGTGTCACCACCGATTTTCTCAGGAAAGGGTAGACCTAGTAAGTTGAAATTTATACCAGATACTGAGGTCTATGGTCCCTCTTAGGTGTATAAAAATCAAGGTCCTGAGTCAACACGATAAAAAGATATCGTCAAATTTCGATTTTCGCGATAACTTGTAAGTACCTAAATTTACCTTAATTATCATTTTTTTTTCATTTCTCAGAATTTTCTCTTTACTTGTGCTGTAAGACCTTGCTTTAAAAAAAAATCACAAATCTAGGTCAACAGGAAGTACCCTATAGGTTTTGGGTCGAAAACCCGAATATATACCCGACCTAAAATCACGAAATTTGGCAAAAAGAAACGTCTTACAGCACAAATTAAGGAATAATTCCAAAAAATAAAAAAGTTGATAATTAAGATAAAATTTGGTACTTACAAATTTTCGCGAAAATCTACATAAAATCTGGGTAGGTATGAAACCCTCGGCGCACAAGTTCGACTCGTACCTGACCGGTTTTTTCTTCTTGGTGCAGGAACCAGCGAACTATAACTTCGGGTATGTGGTGAACGATTTTCAAGAGGGAACCGACTTCGGCCACCATGAGGAGCGTCAAGAGAAGAAGGCTCAAGGAGAGTACCATGTCGTGTTGCCTGATGGTAGAAAACAGGTAGATGTTACTCTATAATTTCTATTTATCACATAAAAGGAGTAATGAAGTAAATATGGTATAAAAATACGGTAAAACCATTAATAACCAAAATTTAAGAGTAGATTGAAGAGCAGAAGCATAAGAAAGACTGCTGGTTGAAGAATATTTGCAACAGAAACTTCTATTTAAGCTAAAGTCATGTGCAGAAGTTCACTCTATATGCGATTCGAAGAACTACTTCGTTTACCACTATATTGTCATTTATGTATCATTTGTGATACGCAGGACACCAGCATAGCAGAGAGAAGGAAAACTTGACACAAACCCTATACCAACCCGTCTGGCCATCGTGGTATAGTATTATATAGTATTCTGAAGAGAGGCCAATGTCCAGCAGTGGACTGTTAAAGATGATAATGTATTTTTAAGGCACGTTGGCGGCAAAAAATCTTAAAGAGGGGCTCGTTGCTAAGTGGTAACGGAGTAGGTTAGCACATTGCAAAATTAAGTTACCCTAGCCGTGAGTCTATGTATGAGTGACCATTCTTAACACTTTTAGACCCCTCCGCGCCTCGGAAAGCACATAAAATTGTCGGTCCTGGTTGAATTACGAACAGCTGTGGCAACGGGGACCGACGGCCGGATGGCGTGGTTTGTGTAACGGACTGCTATTCCAAAGGTCGATTCCCGCTCAAGTCAAATATTTGTGTGCATGAACTTTGAATGTTTGATTTGGTGTGGTTGTTTCTATGTATAATACGTATGTATTTTCCAAAAATAAAGTATGTATTTATATCAGTTGTCTAGTACCGATAGTACAAGTTCTGCTTAGTTTGGGACTCGATGGCGTTGTGTGAATGTGGTACAATATTATAATAGTTACTGGTACTTGGAGCCTTATAAAGACCAACAATAGTCTATCTACAGAACCTTGACATCGCCTAGTTCCTGGGTTGTGACGGTCTGATGGCACTCTAGAGTGACAGCCAACCCCAACCTAGTTTGGGAAAAAGGTTTGGAGAATGATGTCGGTAATAAATCGCCGGTAATAGTCGCCTATGAATTCGAGAGGTTGGTTTCACGCATACGCTTTGACGATGCTGTAAAATGTGCACTCGTGTCTTGAAGAGCCTATTCCACAACAGAAACACTTGTATAAAATAACTGGAAAACTGTGCACGATTATTTTGATGCCAAGGCGTTAGCGTAAACCCCCTGCTTAGTAGACTCTATAGCTCTATGTATGGAGTTAGACAACACTCTAAACACACCATCTAGTGTTCTAAATACTTGTCATTTGTAAGCCTGCTCATCATTAGTCATAATGTGTCCTTTTCTCAACTTCATAATACGTAATTAACTTTTCAGAAATGCATCACTGAGTGAGTTCAATACACTTGAAGATCAATTTTCTACCTTTAGTGATGGAACTTTTTTTTAAATGTACGCACAATTTGCTTTGAGTACAACCAATTAAGCTTAAAAATATTCCCAATAGGTAAACATACGTACCAATGTAAATACATATGTTTACATATCATCATCATCTTTTTAAACTCTTCCCCATTCTTTTTTTCTTTGAGTTTTCTTCTTCCATTCTCCCTAATCACTTGTCATCCTCACTCAGTCCTTCATTTCATTGTGTAATTCGCCTGTCTGATGCAATCCCTTCAAGATAATGTAATCTTTTTTCATGGAATATTAAGATTAAATCCACAGATATTTTGATAACTCCAAAGCAACTCCAAAAGACATACATACATAAAAAAACAATATTCAGACGAATTTGGAACCTCTGTTTTTAATGGGCTTAAAAATCTGTTTCAGACAGTAAGTTACGAAGCCGATGAGCGTGGTTTCAAGCCCCAAATCTCCTACGAGGACTCCGAAGACCTGGCCCGTTCATCAGGCTATGACAGCAACGCCAACAATGTCCGCAACGGAGGCAACCACGACGGCCATTTTGGCAAAAATGGCGGCCATGACACTTTCGGCTCTCGCTCAAACAGCTACTGACTGCGAACCATAAATCAAATATTGTTTTTATTTCTCATCCGTATTTATTTTTAAATAATGGATATCGATATTTTGGCTTAAGATAATATTAGAAGCAATTATAAAAATGTAAAAAATATATTTTTGTTTGTGTTTATTTTGTAAATGTATTTTATTTTGTAATAAAGTAATTTAAGTAGACAAGTTTTTTTATTGAGCGTGCATCTTACTTAAGTTGCACTTGTCCATGGGTAGCGGTATCCACTTACCATCAGGTGTCAATGTGGCAACAGCGATGAATAGTGTTCTTGTCATGCTCATGAACAAGTACACACGTAAAAAGTTCAAAGTACTAATACTTGCGCTAACCGGTAACCGAACCTTTGCTGTTGTAATCCAAAGCCGCCGCACCGCACCACTATGCTGCCATTCATATCTATTACACTATATATAATAGTTTAATGTGCAAGAATATCAGTTGCTAGGTAATTAAAATGTCGGAGTAAAGCCGACTCGGCTTTATTTGTAGTAGTAAATACTGCTAACTAAATCCAATTAATCGATCGGCTAAATGTTTAATAAGAATAAACAAAACGAGTTTTCCAGCACCATGAAGACTATTTACATTTGAGGCATACTCAACTAACTATGGCCGCCTAATTGACACACCATTTTTCTTTAGATTTTGAGCGAAAATCCTCAAAAAATGACAATTTCTGTGTCACTTTGTACTCGTTATGCTCATAAACCGGTGTTAAGCAATTCTTTCGTTGCCTTTCACTGAGTGAGTGAAGTTACCGGAGCCCAAATCCCCCCTCACGCTGACTTGAGCGGGAGGGACTCCAAGGGCGGCAACGCACTTGTGAATTTTGAGTTGTAGGTGTCCAAGGGAGTTGCTTACCATCAGGTGACCCGTCTGCTCGTTTGCCCCTTATACCATTAAAAAAAGCTCTTTTCTGTAGCATTGCACACATTACTGTTTATTATTTTGAGCATCGTTTTCTGGATCAACAACTGGATTTTCTGGAAAACAATCTGAGAACATCTGGTCAAAATTTCATGACAATCTGTTCAGCAGTTAAGGTGTGAAGACGTCACACACAAACCAACACACATTACCGGGTCGTTAATTACTTTGGTGTTTAATTTAAATAATGATATCAGCATTTGTTTGCAAAAGCCCATTATCAAGGTTATATTCACATAATTGGTGCTTTATGTAAACTTAATCGTAACGTACTGAACATTATTTATCATAGATTTTATGCGGGCCTTGTGTGTGATCCAGACGTCGTGGGTTCGATTCCCGACCAGGATTAATATTTCTGATGTGCACGGTCATTCTCAGGTCTACAGGTTATCTATATGTGATATTTCCTTAAAAATGTCTACATAAAATTATTGAAACATTTAATAATATTGACTTTTGACTTTTTTACATTTAATGTTTGATTTGGTCTGGGTGTTTCTATGTATAATATGTATGTATTTACAGAAAAAAAAGTATATATATATGTATTTATATCAGTTGTCTAGTACCCATAGTACAAGCTCTGCTTAGTTTGGGACTAGATGGCGTTGTGTGTATGTGGTAGAATATTATATAATATTATTTATTTTTTGATATAAGATTAAGTGAGATAAGAATAAAAGATGAGATATAGAAATGTAATAAAAGATGTATATTTTACATTGTTCATGCAAAAATATATGAAAGATAAATAGATGCGATATCATTCAAAAAGAAGTTAAAAAAAAAAACAAAAAAGTGTGCAATTACAAAAAACTGTGTGCGCTGTAAAGTGTTTTTTTTATATAATAGGGGGCAAACAAGCAGACGGGTCACCTGGTGTAAAGCGACTACCTCAGGAGTCACAAGCGCGTTGCCAGCCTTAGAGGAAGGAGTACGCTCTTTTCTTGAAGGTTTGAAGGTCGTATCGGTCCGGAAATACTGCACCCGACAACTTGTTCCACAGATTGGTAGTGCGAGGCAAAAAGTGTCTTGAAAAGCGCACAGTGGTGGAGCGCCAATTATCCAAGTGGTGGGGATGAAAAAAAATGAAAAATGTCAAAAATTGTGGGAAAACCAAAAAGACCTGTTATGTTACAAAAGGCCTATGCAATGACCAATCAAATCATACTGGTGAATGAAATAAAACAAGATACTACTCACTCGCTTGATGAAAAAGAAAGCAGCAAAGAAAGAGTAGCTCAACACCGGTTTTCTGGGAGGCCGTGGTCTCACTCCGGTCGAGCTGGTGCAGTACTCAATTTTTTTTTAACTTGACACATCTCATTCTTGGCCATCTGATCCTAAACTAGGTAGAGCCTGTACTGTGGTAACCAGACTATATATATATGTATATATAAATGAATCGCCAAAATTCGAAAAGGGCTTGACCAATTTGGCTAGTTTTTTTTCAAAGGTTCTTATAGAGAGAAATACGTGAAAATTGCGAGGGAAAAGTAAAAACGAAACTTTTACAAATTACAGAGCAAGTTAAAATACCTGTAACTAGCTGACAAAATTTTGACGTCAATCAAAACAAAACAAAAGTACATTAGGATGTCTTTGGTATGCCTTCAGCCTGATTAGAGTACAGGGATATTAATCTATCCACATCCACAGCCTTTACTAGTCCACTGCTGGACATAGGCCTCTCCTTAGAAAGGAGGTTTTGGCCTATTATACCACGCTGGCCAGACGGGTTGGTATAGGGTTTGTTTAAAGTTTCCTTCTCTTTGCAGTGCTGTTATCCTGCGTAGTTTGCTCCCTTAGTCAGCTCTTACGACACCCACGGGATGACTAGGGATGGTGTTAATATGTATTGTTAATCCGTCACCACACGGAATATATGGTGTCAATATATATATGGTGGAAGACAGAAGGGAAGACTGTCCCATACTACTCCTGTTCTATTGTGTAGTTCGCACTTCCGAGAGGCTTTGCCTTGTTAGCAATAGGTATTTCTAAGATGATCACCAATAGTTCCCTAATGCTATGCGAGAGTGCGACGATATTTATACAATAATCTATGCCTGCCCAAATAAAGTGCAAAGAAAAGTGATCATTGAAGTATAATTATTTTCTATTTATTTGATTATTTAAGCCAAAATCTTTTGACAGAAGGTAGGTCGGTAGAAAGTAGTAGTAGTGATAGATAAATTACATCCGGACACTGAAAAATAACCATGCTCATCACACAACTATTTATAAAGGGTGGGATTCGAACGCACGGCCTCTGGCTAGCAGTCAGGGACACTACCAGACAATATGGCCAGAGTCTCCCACTGCAAAAAGTCATGTATGTCCTGAATTTGTTTGAGTTTACAATAACGTAGGTAACTACTCTCTTAAATCGTTCTAGGTCTAGTGATTAATATAAAATTGACCTTGATATAATCCTACGAATTCGTTCTACATTAAAAATTGCATAATTTAATACCAATCAAAATCCGTTCAGCAAATATTTGTAGTCGCAGAGCATACACCAAGGCCTATTGTATTTGATTTATTTTCGTATATAAATGTGGTCTGAGTTAAGTAAAGCATCATTCAACAATTAAATCCATTAGATCTCATAGATCAGCAGCAATATGAAGGTAAGTATATTTAATTATTATCTATATATTAATACGTGAAGATATGTACCCCTTTGAAATGATATTTATTTCTGTAAGTAAATCTTTTCAGATATTTTAACAAGTTGGCAACTTTCTAAACAAATATAGCGGATCGAAGCACATTATATTTGAAATACTTAATATAATATAATATGCTGAAGTAGTGCACAAAGCTAAAACATTAAAACAATGTGTGTTATTATGTTAAAACAGATTCATAAAGATATAGGTGTCCAGTATATATTTTGACCAGTCATGGTACAAAATTCTATTCACTGACAGCTGAAGTTATACTGGTCATGAAATGAAACAAAACAAATTCACTTCGGTCGAAGTCCAACCGCTATCATCTAGTTAAAATAAAATTCATACTTTTACGCTTAAACTACTAAACCGATTTTAATCATCATTGGAAAGTTACATTATCAGCGAGTAACATAGCCTACTTTTTACTTAAATAAAAAGTTCTATTGTCTGTCTCCGAAACTCATCATCAGATCTACATGAAATTTAAATGGGAACATTTCGGCAATAAACTCCTTTGACCCCTTTTAAAATATTGAAAATCCGTCTATATATAACGGAGTTATGCCCGAACATACATAAAAAATATGAACATCCGAATTCATAACATCCTCCTTTTTGAAGTCGGTTAAAAACTATTGTGAGTAATGAAATAAGCATCTAAGTTATTTCATACTAATGTAGTAAATGCGAAAGTGAGTCTGTCTGTCTGTCTTTCTGTCTGTCTGTCTGTTACCTTTTCAAGCTTAAACCGCTGAACCGATTTAGATGAAATTTGACAACACTCATGCGGGCGGGCGGAGCTAGTTTTCAATATTTCATTATATTGGTGTTAAGCAAATGCTTCGTTGCTTTACACCGAGTAAGCAAGGTTACCGGAGTTAAACGCCCTGCTTCTAGAAGCTTCTAGAAAGACTCAAAGGGCGGCAACGCACTCGTGGCTCTTGAGTTGTAGGTGTCCATTGACTGCTTGTTTGTCCCTTTATACCATAAAAAAATCTATTATAAGTTAAACACTTAAAACCACATGTTTTAGGAGGTTTTATTTCAAATTGAAAGAATATCTATTCTTAATCAAACTGATAAATAATGTTCCATCCTCTCTTCCTAGAAGAAGTATAAGATTTCGTCTAAATTTCATGTGAAACTTCCACTGCAATCAGAAGTGTCTCTACCGCTGCTTTCTTCTGTAACAGGTCTTCGTAGCACTACTTCTCACCATCGGTTCTGTTGCGGCTCGTGGGTCTGGACCTTACTTGCCGAGTGGCTGGAGGCCTGAAGGCCCGGCCTTCTATCTACCATCGGAAGTAGCTGTGAGTATTCGCAAAAAAAAGCGAGTTTAGAACAACAAAAAAATTAAGAGCCTCCTCCTTAGGCAGTCAGTCGATTAAAAACTAATTCTGAAGAAGTTTAAAGAAATGTAGAAAACGCCATGGATCATGCAAATTCAATAAAATGCATAACTTGATTTATAATAATAATAAATTGGTGTTGCAGAAACCAGTGGCAAGAACTGCACAAGAGGTTGTAGTAGAAGAAACCGAGGCTTCAGGTTCTGATGCTCTAAGGGAGTATGGCCCACCCAAGCTGGAAGTGTCCATCGATGTTAACCAAGGACTTCCAGATGTTGCTACAGAACAAACTTTTTTCAGGGCTATCAAGGAAGAAGTTGTAGACTCTGGTCAAGAAGCTAATGTTGAAGGTATGAAGATTAATTTATGACGACTGATATTATGTATCGAAGTGTTATATGTCTAAAATCAATAATGATTCCTTTGGAAATTAGCCTGATTTATAAAAAAAATTTTTTGCTAAGCCTGAGCTTCTTCTGTTCTCATTAAGAATTGCAGATGAAATTAAACCCTTATCTATTACGCTAGTTTAATGCGGGTTGGTAGACTTTATCATCACTTTATTAAATGCTAGAATGTTCTTCATTTAATCACTTTTCAGTAAACCCAGAACAAGTTGCTGCTGTTACAGAAAAAGTATCAACAGTCACAGAATCTCAAACAGCAGAAGCTGTTAAAGCAACATTGGAGGAAGTTGCAGCTCTCTCTGAAGTAGATGCTACTGCTGGATCTCCATCTACTGACGTAATTGAATCTTTTGACGCCATTCAGACTAAAGCGTTGACGAAACCAGAAGTAAGCGTCGTTCCTAGAATTGTTATTCCAGAAGATGTTGTGGTCCCAACCGACGCAGTAGAAGTAGTTGTTCCTCTGTATCAACAAGAATTGGTACAAGATGTTCTGCCTACTCCAGTATCCGAAACAGTAGCCTCTGCCCGCCTAGAAGAACAAGAATTGGTGTCAGAAGCTATTCCTACGCAATCATCAGACTCGGAGGCTTCTGTCACCTTATTACAGCAAGAAGTCGTTCCTACTGCGACACAAGAAGTCGCAGTAGAGAAAGTGGCTGAAGAAGTCAATAATATTGCAGATGCTATAAATTTTTTGAACAAGGAGATTAAAGCTGTTGAGGTACGATAATCATCAATGTCTTTCTTAGCTACATATATATGGTGTCAAAACACGTTTTACAGATAATTTCTTAGTGTGTGTTAATGATACCCTAAAATCTTTTATGTTTTAGATCCAAGCTGAAGTAAACTCAGGCGTAACATCCGCGCAAGTAATCTCAGGGTGAGTCCTGTCATCTTCTTGTTACTCTTTTTCCGAATTCATTAGGAGAAGTTGCGATGTATCTTCTTTTATTCTACTTTGATATTTAGATTTACTTCAGCGCCATCTATCGAACTATATAGTAACTACTGATCCTGTATCGCGCAATAAGAGTTTTCACATCATTAAAATAAGTATAATATATACAATTTCTGAATATCAAGATATACCCAGTTCCTTTGTATTGTAGGGATATGAAAATCGTTCCTCCACAAAGGATTTTGATGACTGTCTTTTTTATACCACTAATCTTAAGTAACATAATAAATATAGAAATTTTTATATGCCATACAGCCTTATTGACCTATATAATACTTTTTGAGAGCTCTATTGTTTTTGCTCATATAAATAATAATCTTAAAGAACCCCTTTTTGCAGATCCTTGGAACAGGCGCCCGAAGGTTTCCTAGAGTATGGACCCCCTGGTTTCTTGGAATATGGACCACCCAAGCAAGGAATTCTTAGAGGACTAACAACTGAGGTAATATAATTTTTCCAGAAGCATTTTACAAAAAATTTTGTTGCACCTAACGAAAAAAAGAATTTACAAAGTTAGTTAAAACTCAAATAAATAAATGAATTCTTCGATTAATTATCTTTGCCACTTTTTTGTATACGGTTTATCTCACAATTGGGTGGTCTAATATTAAACTGTATCATTTCAGGTTGGTAGTTCTGGTGCATCAGAAAACAACGAAGTTAGAAGAAGGCGTTTCTCACCTAAATTCAGGTAAATAATATTGAGACACTGAAAATTAGACTAATGTTAAGGCATAACATGCTTTAGAAAAATACTGGACGTATCCAAATTCATCTCTACGACAGCCTAAAATATACTCCATGACATGGTTTTCAGAGTCAGTATTTAAACGTATTCAAGAAGCAGTTTCCTGTATTATGGACTTGCATTATTAAATTGTTCTATATTTTTTGTTACAGATCAACGAAAAAGCATTAAAAAAAAAAGAAAATTTGAGCATTCGATCGTAGGACCACGGATTTGGATCTAGAAATTGTATTTTTTAATTAAGGAACCAAGTTTACTAAAACCTTTTTTGCTATTATTATACAAAGTATTTGCTGTTGTTTTGGTATTTGAAATAGAATAACTCGGATGGTAATTAAAACGTGAGGTAGCCAACTTGTTGTGCTAATAGGGCGGCAAAATAAAGTTGCAAATATCTACGTTTTTGGCGTTGGTAGCTACTTATAATCAGTAGACCCGTCTGCTCGCCTGGCCGTTTATACAAAAAGCTTTGGTCATTTTTTTTTGTTGGCAAAAGGTTTAAAAATATATTAATCATGCAATGTTAAAGCATTTTAAAATAATACTGTTATATGATAAAATTAATAAATACAGATTTATTTTAAACTGATGCAATTGGCGTATTTTTTATTTCTGTCTCTGTATTCCCCGCAGCTTCACTTGTATTTATTGTCACTGCTTCGCACCTGCTCACATTCCTCAATAAATACTCTATCAACAAAATAGAGTCATAGGATTCTGCCTGATACTACCTACTTAATTTCACATATTCATAAAGACTAACTAGACCTACCTATGTCCAGCCGTGGACTATTAAAGGCTGTTGATGGTGATGATATGGACTCACGTCTTTATTGCCGGAAGACAGTCTTATTATACGTCCCCATTATTATCATCATCATCATCATCAGCCTATCGCAGTCCACTGCTGGACAAGGGCCTCTCCCATTGCACGCCACTTAGATCGATTTTGGGCTTCTCGCATCCAGCTCCTGCCAGCCATCTTGCGCAAATCGTCACTCCACCTGGCCTGTGGGCGTCCTACACTACGTTTGCCGAGACGCGGTCTCCACTCAAGAACTCGTTTTCCCCAACGGTTATCGGTTCTGCGGCTAATATGGCCAGCCCACTGCCACTTCAGCTTGCTGATCCGGTACGCTATGTCGGTGACCTTAGTTCTCTGCCGGATCACCTCATTTCTGATGCGATCCCTTAGAGAAACGCCGAGCATACATTATTATACCTACTAGTATTTATTACTTTGCACTGGCGGTCAAGATGTTTAAAAATCATTTTTCTCTATTCTAAAACTTATCCTACAGTTATATCATCAATTATATCATCAGTTCTATAATCAATCATCATCATCAATAGCCTCTAACACTCCACTGCTGGACATAGGCTTCTCCTTAGAAAGGAGGTTTTGGTCTAATAAACCACGCTGGCCAGATGGGTTGGTATAAGTTTTGTTTCAAATTTTGTTTCTCTTTGCAGTGCTGTTGTCCTGCAGAGTTGCTCCCTTAGTCGGCTCTTACCTACGGGATGAATAGAGATGGTGACACTCTCCACACGGAAATAAATGATAATATGTATAATTGTACATATTTTAATTGTTTTTAACAGAGAAACTTATCAATAATTGATTTATCGCTACACTAGTCGTTCCCTCATCTTTAATCTACGTTTATGATTAATGTATGGGACTTAGTATAATGTTACATAACCTATAATCATCATCAACTGTCCTTAAAAAAAGAGTAATTAAAACATCGACTGCTAGAAACACGTTGATACACTCAGACGTAAAACTAATAAACGTGCTCATCACACAATAATTGTCTGAGTGAGAATCGAACCCACGACGACTAAGAGGCCTGCCTATACCAATACAATAATAATAATATTTACTAAGATCAAATTAAGTTTAGTTTTCTTAGGTTAATAACACATTATAGTCAGGCTCTGGTACCCATGGTAAGATTAAACTTGTGTTGAGGGTACCAGTCCCTTTCTCATCCAAAACTAACATTCATTATGTATTTTCTATATTTTTAAACATTTGCCGATATTCTTGCGGGTGTCTCTTCAATAAACCTCTTAAACTTTATTAAATTGGTATAACTAAATATTATAGGTAACATAAAGAAAACATTAGCTTGTTTGATGGCGTAGTGGTATAAGGGGTCACCACGCCTCGCACTACTACTAGTGTTGTGGGTCCGATCCCTACATGGGACGACACTTTGTGTGATCCACAAATTGTTGTTCTGATTCTGGGTGGTCTTTGTGTCTGTTTCATATACGAGTATGTTTGTAAAGTCCCACGCGACACAGGATATATTAAAAAAAAGGAAAAACAATAATGGCAAGATATTTGATGCTATTTAATCTCAATACTTAATCATCTATTGCGTTCCATAATGTACATAAATGGACTTAAAATATGAAAATACATAACCATTATTGACCCTGTCAGGCACAGTCAAAGCTTAGGAGAAGGAGGGCTAAGCAGTAATACTTGAGGTACTATTAGTGCATACAACTAAAAACTAATTTTCATATTTTTATAAAATGAGTAAATAGTAATACTGGTATATACAATATGTAATATATATATATATGTAAGAAATATATTTCTATTTAATAACATATATTTATGCAGGTATTATACATTGATTAAACATGGGTGTACATATATTTTTTTTGCGGGTGTTTAGTGTGTATGGTGGTGTAATCGTCGAACTTCGGTGCTAAACAATTTTTTCATACGTTTTCACTGACTGAGTGAGATCACCGGATGCCAAGCAACTCCCTCTCTCCCTGATTCTGTGGGGGAGAATTAATTTTGTTTTTTACACCTTACACAAATGGCCGTCTGATCCCAAACTAGGCAGAGCCTGTACTATGGTCACCAGACTGCTGATAAACATAATGCTGATAAATATTTATATATTTCTAAATAGACACGGAACAAATGACAATGCTCATCACACAATTCTTTGTCTTGCAGTCAGGGTCATCAACAGGTCAGTTAAAGGTCGGAAAGAACTTGTGTCTTCATTTGCAAATGTCCATTGACGGCTGCAGTCACTTGCCATCGGGTGACCTGTCTGCTTGTTTGCCACATATAGCATAGAAGTGCGTTTATCACATTGACAATAATCACATCTCTATTTAAGAGATAGGATATTTGTTATTCATTTATTAATTTCATTAAATATTTAAAGCTCGCACATAGTAAACAAAACTGTCAAGATGATTAAACAACAATTAGGAAGTAGGACATTTTGATGGCAGCCCTCATTTGTGTATAGCCTCAATATTAAGAAATTATAATATTCCATAAATATGTCATTTCAAGAGGAACCTAATATTTAATGGGATAAATTAACGAGAGCTATAAAAACTGCCGTTATCTTTTACACGACACAGATTCTAACAAGACATTGTTTTGATAGCATCACCATGAATAGTGTAAGATTTTTCATTAGGAGTGTTCTTGCCGCCATCTTTCTATTGTGAGTACTTTATTATAAATCAGCAGTACACGTGAGAGATTTTTATAGAGGTATTCTTCCCCCATATGAACTACCTCTACCGTCCGTCGTTAACCAGGCAAATCCATGTCAGATCTAATTGATCATCATTATCATCATCATCAACAGCCGAATACAGTTCACTACTGGACATAGGACTCTCCTTAAAAGAGACGTTTTGGCCTACTATACCACTCTGGCCAGCCGTGTTTGGTATAGGGTTTGTTTCAAGTTTTTCTTCTCTTTGCAATGGTGTTTTCCTGCTTAGTTTACTCCCTTAGTCGGCTCTTACGACACCTCATCTCGTGGGTGTCGTAAGAGCCGACTAAGTAGCCTGTAGTAGCCGACTAAGGAGTAAACTAAGCAGGAATAGGGTTGGTGAATAAATTCAGAAACAGACAGTTAACTGTTTTGACAATCATTAACTGATATGATAACCTTTTGTACATTTTTTAAATAAGAAGAATTAAAAATCCAAAATAATTTGTTTCGACTAAGTTTTGGTAGGTGATAGAATTCTTTATCATCGCTTTTGTAAATTGTAAACCGTCTTGATTTACGTTAGGTCCTGGCGCTTCTAGAGTATCAAGATTAGAACCTGGCCAGTGGCCCTACATACTCGTTATAGCACTTTTATTTTTTAAAACACAGACTCTTATAAATTCCGCTTAATCTTGAACGCTTCTAATTAATATAAATTGATTTACCAACAATCAGGTTATTTTTTGTTACAGGACGATATGTTATGGCTCAGAGGATTTGAGACTCACCTATAAGATACCACGATCGTCTTATAGTGGGTTGGCAGACGGGTAAGGGCAACTCCTATCGTATTATTCCTTTATTTAGGTTTTGTTTTTATATATTGTATGTTGTCTTAGCTAGAGAGAAAAAAGAACTGTTCTTCAGTGTAAGAAAATAACCAATGGAAACAGTTATACTATTAAGTAAATCGTAACAACTCTGATTATCTGCATAATATGTAAGCATATAAAATCCAGGGCAGGCAGCAATCTACTGTGTAAACTTAGTGTTAGTAAATATCACGTAACGTACACCAACGTCCGTACAAAGATGATCTTTTGTTACAGAAAAGATGGGTCCTTGGTTTTATTATAAAAGGGAGAAGAACTAACATGTTTTAAATCTTGTTTAAAAAACTATTGTTTTGTTTATTACAGGCGTGAGAGAGCCATTATGTTTCCTCGAAGTATCAGCATACCCGTACTTGATGATCAGAATAGGAACCTCGTAGACTTTATAAACCAAATGCAACAGCAATTAAATGGCTCCCCTCGAAGGCATAGGTCTTATGAGAATGATCATGAGATGGACTTGGATGCTGAAAAGGATATTTTGCAGCAGATTCTACAAAACGACAATGCCTTAGGAAAATTGCCGTACTTTTACAATAATCTTATTGAAAGTCACGACAAAGTTGCAGATTCAGTCCAGAAATATTCAGATAATGACTTTACTAAGAGAGATAATTTAAGTAAGTGGTATTCATATTATTAATATACTTTTTACTAACGTGTGTATTCTTAATGGGGCGGCGTCTGATATATCTATCTGACGCCGCCCCATTATATATATCTGATATTTCCCATACGGCCACCTGATTCCCAGCTAGGCAGTTCCTCTACTATACTACAAATAATAATATTCACACTTAGTTCACTAAACAATGGTCGTGCTGGTCTGGGCATCTAATTCACATCCTGTCCACCAGTCAACATCGCTGTATCAACAGCCTCTGATAGTCCACTGCTGGACATAGACCTCTCGACGCCACACGGATATCGCTAACCGCTTGAGAATTAAGATACAGAATTAATAATGAAGAAATTATTAATTAAGATCTTTTTTTCTTTGTTTTTAAAGATAAAACCGATAAAGGCCATCAAAACCGGGGTAACCTTGGTCCAGGACATGGCGAGCAGGTGTCACCTCCTAAAGACAGTGTACCAGTAAGTACCTAAAAATATACATACACTGGTTAGAACTAATATTGTAGGTAAATACCTGTGTCTTAGAAGAGATTCACGCATATTTAAATACACTAATTATTTCATCAATAGTTTGGTCCTACTCACTTATTAATGGGCAAGCTTAATGCCACCAACCGGTCAGTTTGAGATTTAAAGATGGGGATATAAAGGGTAGTTCAAAAACTCCAAGCTTAGTAGAGAAGTGAGGCATGGATGGCGTAGTGGTTAACGGTCATCTCGCCGCTCTCCACTGTGCTGGGTGTTGTGGGTTCAATCCCCACCTGGGACTACACTCGTGTGATCCACAAATTGTTGTTCTGAGTAAGGGGGTACCTTGTGTCCATTTCTTGTGGGTTTGTAAAGTTGTCTTTTATGGAAAGAAAAAAAGAGAGGTTATAGCTTATACGGATACAATTGTTAACAGGTCAGGGTCACCACCACACGATCTGGCTAGACACATTTTTGTGTGGTCTTTACTTGTCATCATCATCAACAGCCTTTAATAGTCCACTGCTGTACATAGGAAGTTTTGGCCTACTATACCACGCTGGCCATACATGTTTGTTTCAAGTTTTCCTTCTCTTTGCAGTGCTGTTGTCCTGCGTAGTTTACTCCCTTAGTCTGCTCTTACGACACCCATGGGACGAGCAGGTCACAGGTGACACTCCTTATTCTTAATCAGTCACCACACGGACGATTACTTACTTGTCAACTTGTGGATTTGTTTATAAAAATCATTAACATGTGTATAAAAATCTACAGCGGCCTAAAATAAAACTAATTTATTTTCTTATTCCAGTTGAAATTCAATGGACCCCAGAGTTTGGAGGATCTACTTGTGAGTGAGGTTCTGAGAATAGCTATAGAGCTCCCTCCAAAGTAATAAAGGACAACTATCGGCAGCTCTCTTCATTCAATAGCGACGGCTAAAATGTGTTGTTAATTAGACATGGATTTAGTTTACTTTAGACTTGTGCGATTATTTATTGTATATCGATATATAGATTAGCATTATTGACTTAACATGTATAGTATTAAAACATTGTGAAATGTTATGAGAATTGATTTTATACCCATTCCCCTCTATGACTCGTCAGTTCACTGCTTACTTACTTTCTGGGCATATTCTCTGGCTATTCTCGTATTCGTCAACTTCCAGGTCCACACATAATACTTCCCTCATTTTACTCGTCTCTACACATCACATGTTCATACCAGGATAACCTATTGCTTCTCAAGTTTCATCAATTTGTGCTACTTTCAAGCTTTCTCTAATGTATTAATTCCTCAGCTTGTCCATCTAAATCTTGTGGTGACTAAACACCACACATTCATCTTAACATTTGCCTTTCAGCTACACGCAGGCGTTTCTTATCCGTTTACTTTGTTGGCTAATACTCAGATCCTTGTAGAACGGCAGATCGTTTTGCTTAATATGGGCAATTGTTTGTAGACTTACTTTTATTTCCAGATCTGACAGAAAACATCAGATGCGCTATAGTCCCTCTTTTTTCTTCCTGTGCGGAAATCCCCTCGTATATCACCTACCAGTGGGGTGATTATGTCGGACTCGAACCGACCAAAAACCGCACGCCGACTCGGGTACCAGTAGCCGGAGAACCAGATGTACCCTAGAAAGGAAATCCCTGGTACCCCGACGTATCTCGGGCCATCCACGGCGAGTTATATGACCCCCTCCAGTGTGGGAACCCCCATGTTCATTTTGTGCTCCCGAAAGGGCGCGCGCGCTTGGCAGCGCGCCTCGCCGCTTGCTTGCGCCCTGCTTCTGCTAGGGTGACAGATGGCCTCACCTGTCACCCCCAGGCCTGCGCTTATGGAGGACGGAGGTCGTTCTGTGACCTCCGGTGCCCGAGTCGTCTGCTGTACCTGGTCTGTTCCCGGGTCTGGCGGGCTGGGAGAGTTCTAAACCTCTCCCGTTCCCGCTCCACCATCTCTTTCGCAAGCACAACTTGCTCGCAGAAGGAGACGGTAGAGTTCCACGCACTCTAGCTTCGTAACATGGCGGCAATCATACTACCGAGCGAGAGGACTCCCACCCCTATGGCCACCACGAGGTCACGCCTCTGCTCCACTCACGCCGGGCATTCTGCCAACGTGTGGAGGGCCCTGTCCACAGTCCGGTCATCGCAGTGGTGTCACTTAGGCGTTGGCTTCATGCGGATAAGACACAGGTGATCTCAACAACCACCTTTCCCGGTGATCACCTGCGTCAGCCGGTATGAGAGGATTCCGTGACGCCTCTCGAGCCAATCTTCCATAACGGGTCTTACCTCCGCAATAACGGCGTGCCCGGCGTTCGGTTGCCAAAGTCGTTCCTTCCACTGCTCTACGAGGATCTGGCGGAGCTGGGATTTCTGATCCTCGATTTCTCGAGTTTCAGGATTCAAACCCAACCCCCGCGCCTCCTTGGGCCACCGATACAAAGTCGCAAGGGCTCTCGCCTTCAGGTCCCACTTGCCGCCTCAAAGGAGATCGTGGGGTACCTCCTTATGACCCTGATGGAAAGCACTCGCTGCAGTCGTCACAGTAGTGCGACGTTGCTGGCCCTCAGAGGCGCTATAGTCCCTCTAATCAAAAAGGTTCCGTTTGACGTTTCATACTTTTCACGCCGACAAAACTTTTTATTGGCGGAACTCGAGCAATTATAATAAACTTTGCCGTGAAAACCATGGAATTATGAAGCTATTTTTATTTTATCTCAAAATATTCAATTCTTAATGACTAAATTTAAAGGTAAACCTTTTAAACAAAGCAAAATAACCAATAGTTACAATAGGTTTTTTTTTTACTTCGATTCAAAGTACGTGTGTGTAGTGTTGTGACTCTTCAAATTTACTTGTACACGAATAATCGTTATATTCTACAAATAATCGAACTTATTGATAACCTGTAATTTTCAATCCCGACGCATTTTAGTCTGCGCCAATGAAGTTAGCTGCTAACCGAATGTTGTACAGGTACACTCGTAAACAAACAAAAAATTATTTAGTTCATTCCTATTAAAATAAACCCTTTTAAAAAAAAAGTTGAACCGATTTCAAACAACAACGACAAAGAGCACTAAAAATTAAAAAAATAATTACAAATCTAAGTAAAAAACTATAATAAGTACCCTCAATGTAACAGGTAACATTATAATACCAATAGTCCCTTCTAGTCTGTTTGAAGTCGGTGCCAAGCCAAATAGGTGCTTGATAGGCATGGTAGAATGTAGCGCGGCAGCGGCAGCGGCTGCGCAAAACATGTTGAACGAGCTAAAGCGGACGCACATCTCCAATTATGTTATTATTTTGAATGCTTTAATAAGTAGTTGATAAGTTTGCGCACGTAATTGATCTGGTTGGTCTTTATTAATTAACAAAATCTTCGATGTTTCATTAGAATTATTTTGAATTCTTAATTTTTCATTGTGCTAATATAAAGCTGACATAGACCAGTATTACTTATTATGCATCGAGCTTGGCACCGAAGGAGTTCTAACTAGAAGGGTTAATACTGGTATGTTAGAAATTAACCTAGTTGACCCACACAAAATTTAAGAGTTTTTTCCAGAACCATTTTAATAAATTAAGCATAAAATTACAAACGAATTGCGATGCCATCCATAGCAATAAAACGTCTATCCGAATTATTTTAACAAGATAGAAAACAAAATTTCAACCTTTTCTTCTTAATACAAAGAAAATACTGTGGTGACATAAATACTGCAAGTTCTCTGCGCATCACATCGCGCAGTCTCTGACGGTTGCCATGGTTTGTTTGGCTAAAGAAATACTCGTAGCTAAAACACGTTGTCGGGGCTGTCAAATTCCCAATAATTGTGAGGGTTTCCCCCGATATCTCTAGGATCCCATCATCAGATCCTGAATTGGTGGTAATAGGACCAATTCGGGAGCATACCCTTTCGATTACAAAAAGAATTTTGAAAATCGGTCCACAATTGACGGAGAAATCGCGTAACAAACATACATAAAAAAAGAAATACAGACGAATAGAGAACCTCCTCTTTTGTGTTTTGGAAATCGGTTAATAATAAGTTTTGTGCCCTTATTCGCTTTAGGAAAGTAACTAAAGTAACATTTTCGTAACTCATAGCCAGTCGTAACAAGAATTTCGAAGAATTTAGCTCATCTCGAAGCAATAGCGCCTCGTGCTCAGACGACGCACCAGTGCATATGCCGTCTACGTACAGATCCGTTTCCAAGATGGCTGCCGCTTTTGGAAATGTTGAGTGATTTTGTTGTGTGATGAGCGCCGTCATTTGTTCTGTGTCTAGGTAATTTTTTTCTATAATATGTATCTATTTAAAAATATATAGGTATGTTTATCAGCAGTCTGGTTACCATAGTACAGGCTCTGCCTAGTTTAGGATCAGACTTCCGTGTGTGAGATGTGTGAAAGATATATATAGTATTTGTAGCCAGTTCGTAGACCAAAAGTAGCTGCGACGGATCTGCCCTCTAAAGAATTAATTGATACCGCCTATCAACCGGATGTATGATCGTTTGCCTGAACATCATTCGAATATCTGTAGAAAAGACGTAATTAGTTCCGAGATATTCCTTTGGAGCTTAACACCTGAGTGTAGACATTGATTAAGAGAGACGCCACTAGATGACGGAGCCGATCCGTCAAATACAACACGTATTCCCACTATCAGCCTTAAAAATAGCGTGGTGAGGAATAAAGTAGGAGTAATCCGTACGCGAGGGAAGCATATGTCCAAACTCCTTATATTCGCACATGAATTAAACGTACTGTTCCCAAAATACAGAATCACATTTCAGAAATCATTTCAGGTCGTTGTGCATGCTCCGACTGGAAATTCGTAAGTGCTGTATGAAATGTAAAAAAAGTTAATATATATGTAAAAAAAAAGTAAAAAAGAAAATGAATGTAAATAAAAGTAACCAAAAACTGATAGGAAGGCAATCCCGATGCAAAGCGATAACCGAACCCGAACATAACACCTGTAACTGTGGCTCCACCAGTGCCTCTACCCAAAGTGACACCGTGGGGAGAAGAACCGTTTTTGAAAAGGCTGCACCAGATGAGGAGTGTGGCTCCGACATCAACAAAATAGCCTGAGAGGACAACCCATGACGCCTCACAGGCACTCAATAATAATCCTGTTCAATCAGAGGGACGCGCGACTGCATCAGCAGCTGTTCCGGACTTATTTGTGCTGCCCGAGCAGCGTAAGTTGTAAATGTGGGACTCCAATTGATCCACCGGTGGTTGCACTTTAGCCCGGTGCTCGTTACGCTATGTTTGCTCTTGACCAACCATAATAATCTCGATGAAAGGAGGGGGAACTCCTGTCCCTGCGAGCATTCTGATGCTCATTTTGGGTACTTCGGCCCTTGCGAGAATCCCCGTGTTTTTCGGGGGTATACCCAGCGAAGGTATGTCACAGGCGTTAGGTGTACAGTGTGTGTACAGAGTTGACTATGAAACAATCGTTACAGGAACGCTTCTTTAACCGCCTGAAAAAAGTATTAAATAGTCTTTTGTCAGGTGGTAATAAGGTGAGAGCCTATAATGATTGGGTCATACCAGTTCTAACTTACTCTTTTGGCATACTTAGATGGACTCAGACTGAACTAGATACCCTGGATAAAAGAGTTCGTTCATTGCTTACTGCATACCGAATGTATCATCCACGTTCATCGGTGATGAGGTTTTATATTCCACGAAAATGTGGTGGTCGTGGTTTTCTAAATGCCAAGACCCTCCACAATCGTGAGATATGTAATCTTAGGAATTACTTCCTTTCTGTTAATGTGGATATCCATAGGGATGTAGTAGCAGTTGATAACGGACTCACTCCGCTTGGTCTAAGTGAAGAGAACTGGCGCAAATTTGCAGTACTCAACATTACTGATCGTAAGGCGATATGGAAGCCCAAAGAGCTGCATGGACGTTTTTATGGTATGTGCTCGACCCAGTTCTCGAGAATGGTCGGGCCACGTTGTATTGGGATCGATCTATTATCACAGACAGGACTATTGTTGCGAATAAGCCTGATATTGTGCTGATAGATCGATTAGAGCGCCGCGCAATGATTGTTGATATCGCCGTTCCTCATGACGAGAATCTCGTGAAAGTTGAAAAAGAAAAACAAATCAAATATTTGAATTTATCTCACGAGATTGTCGATATGTGGAACGTTGATTCAGTGATCATTGTTCCGATAGTAGTATCTGCTCACGGATTGATAGCCAAGAGCCTCGACATACACCTTAAGAGGCTCACGTTGGTCGGCTGGATCAAGGGTCTGATGCAGAAGGCAGTCCTCCTTGACACGGCTCGTATAGTGAGGAGGTTCCTATCTTTGGAGTCCAAACCACCGGTGTCTTGGTCCCTGTACCCGATGTCTACTATTTTTTATATTTTTAAATGTATTTTTTTATAATATTTTATAAAGTGTCTGTTTAAAAATGTAAATAATATGTATATAAAGTAAATAACGAGAATAATAATAAATTTATTGTAACAAATGATACATACAATTCAAGTGCAAGCCCTGATTCCCAAACTAGCGTGAGCTGTATATCGGGGATCAGTTCCTTCCCAAAGACATGATACAATTAGTTGTTACAATAATCACGTGGAACGTACAAAGAAACATTGAAGAATACTTACGAAAGATCTTTTGTTAATTTTGCGTGTACATGTGTGTGTGTGTCTGTGTGTGTGTGTGTGTGCGTGTGTATTTGTGTGTGCGTGTGCGTGTGAGTGTGCCTATGCGTGTGAGTGTGCCTATGCGTGTGCGTGTACATGTGCGCGTGTGTGTATGTGTGTACATATTTGTGTGTTTGTGTGTGTGTATTGAAACCTGGACTACGTTCTTACCAGCAATAAGCTTTCTACATCATACTACATAGGCTAAACTTTTAAGCCATATTTTAATTATGTTTTAAATTTGGTAGTTCGATAAGTGTCTGGTTTTGTAATTTAAATTAAGTTTATTTTATAGCCTTGGTGCAATGTTACTATATCGCTGTTGAGCAAATTTGCTTTTAACCCTTGGGTTTGGACATTTGTCTTTTCTTTTACCCGAAGGTTGGAGAAGAGGTACAGTATGCTTGTGATATTTGCGGATACAGTGATAGACAAACATCTTTCGTACCCTTAAAACTTCAGCCTTTTCATACACTAGATGAGTAGGGTGACGGAATGGTAGGACGGAATGGTGACGGAAAGGAGTACATTAAGTACAGCCTGTTGTGCTCTTTCGAGTATGTTTTTGCAGCTGAGCCCCACGAACATATTCCGTAGGTGATTAAACATTCAGCTAGGGCTTTGTACGTTTGTATTAAAAGTGTAATGTCTGGTATAATTCGTAAATCCTTAAAAATGTAAATAAACGTCCTTAATCGACCACTAACTGTGTTTATGTGTTGCCCCCAGTTTAATTTGTCGTCAATATTTACCCCTAAATATTTGATTTCGGTTGCCCTTGACAGCTCGGGACAGCTGCAACGTGCACACAGTTCGATTGTTGATCGGTTACATGGATGACAATGTATGCGTAGGTGGAGTGTTTTCGGCGAAAATGCCATACTTTTACTAAAACATAGAAATTTGGTCTTGTCCACATTTATTGACAGTAGACTATCTTCAAGCCAAGCTGTAATACGAGACATACATTGTTCAGCTATTTGTCGTACATTATCCCATGCATTACTATGAAACAATACCACTGCGTCATCGGCAAACATTTGTATGTCAGCACCCTCAATTTCAAATTTACATAGGTCGTTAATATATGCAAGAAATAGCGTAGGACCGAGAGTGCTGCCTTGTAGAACCCCATATGACCCCACACAGGTGTTACTGGTATGGTTTTCAACTCTAACACAATGGTATCTTTCTGTGAGATAATCTTTCAACCATGGAAGTGCGTTTCCCCTAATGCCTAGATTCTCAAGACGAGTTAAAAGGATCGGAATAGAAACGGTGTCAAACGCCTTTTGTAAGTCAAGAAATACGGCTTAACATTTATCGCCTCTGTCAACGTGAGTTACATTTCACGTTGACAGAGGCGATAAATGTTTTGATTAGATGTTAGTTGTAATACAGCGTCATCAGTGTCCGCGTCATTAGTGTTTATGTTAAGCAATTCAGTAGGCGATGCCTTATTCTGTTTCATGTTACATAATTCCTTAATCGTGTTCCAAGTTTCCTTTATATTACCTTTGTTTTTGTTAAGTTTGTCCATGTAGTAATTTGTTTTCAACGTTTTAATTACCTTTTTTAATGTATTTCTATACGCTAGGTATTTGTCTTTTATTTCTAGATTATTGGAATTTAATTTTACTTTCTTATGCATTCTATCTCGTCTACGTATAGATTTTATTACACCTATAGTTATCCAGGGTTTTAAAGGTTTGTTACGCATTGAAATTTTGTTAACTAAGGTGTTGCTGCTTATAAAACCTTCTAATTTTTCAGTCAGTATTATGGCAGCTTGATTAACATCGGTTACAGAGTATAGATCATTCCATGATTCCTTCTCCATGCATTTACTTATACCACCGATATCAATTTTGCTTTTATTAATATGTTTATTTTGCTTAGAAATGGGCGTATAATCAATATGCAGTAGAATGGGTAAGTGATCCGTTAAATCCTCAAAAACAAATGTTTGTACTTTTGCAGTAGCTTTTATCATAAAATGGTTAATACATGTATTTTGCCTAGTGGGACAATTAATTCCCTGCTTCAGACCGTGGTTTGCTGTTAGATTTAGGTATATTGCAGTATTAGCATTAAGATTATCTGACATTATATTCAAATTTAAATCACCAGTCAAAATAAGTACTTTATTTGAGCTACATGTTTTTAAGATATTATCTAGTGAATTTATATAAATAAGCGGATTTTTAAAGCAGTTTGGACTGTAGGTGCAAATAATACATATGTCATCTGCAATATTCACCACAATACAGTTTCCTTCAGAACATTGGGGCGCAAATGAATACGCCTCAAACACTTCCCGAACATAAACTACAACACCATAGTTTTTGTTCAACGATACATTTGATCGGAACATTAGGTAGTTGTTTATTTTTGGCGGTAAAATTTGTTCATTAGTCCAACATTCTGTTAAAACAATTACATCTACAGGTTTATAAAATTTAAGGAGAAACATAAGAAAAATGACGAAATTTGCTTTTATACTTCGTATATTAACTGTTAAAACTAATAGGGAGTCATTGTTGGAACACTTTATCATTTGTAAACAATCAGTAGGATCACTCAATTTTCTGCACTCAATACTTTCTCTGTCGATGTCATTTATTACTGTAGTACTTATAGAATTGAATTTTATTTAATATGAAATACTATGACACTATTCAAAATAATATAGGGTAGTTTTCAAATATATGCACAATAGACATTCGAGTAATTTATAAAAGTAATAGTCAGTAGGAAACACGCTGTAAGTAAATAGTTAAGTATGTTTATCATACTCGTATGTAGATGTAACATTTATTAGGTTTATATTGTGAATCGATTTGCTTACTGAATACTCATTTCTGTAAAAGTCGTTTGGCCAGTATATTTTTAACAAAGTTGAATTCGGTCTATATTTCGGAGATGTTACGATATGCACTGTATGTAATAAGAATGTGATGTATTTGGGTATTTGTTTATATTGTCTTTGAAATATTAGTTTTGTAGAAATAAGTAGGTCATGTAATGAGTTGTGTGAGAAAATGAGATTTAACTGTGTGTGTGTGTGTGTGTGTGATTATAGGTGTGTGTTTTACAATATATTAAAATCAGATAAGTAACTAAAAATACGTTATACATTTTACTGATAGGTGATTGATATCTGCTATCAGTCCCTAGTCATATTGATTTACATACATTATCAAGATCTGATTCGGTTTTTATAGTGATATATCGCTCTCCATCTGTTTTTCGCATGAGGACTTTGCCGTAAGAGGTCCAACGGTATTCAAAGCCATTGCTGCTCGCAAAACTACGAGCTAGAAGTACAAGCGCTGCGCTTTCGGCGTTAATTTTTCTGATAAGTATATTGGCTTACTGGGACCTGACACATTAAGATGCGTCGTATTTAGCTTGTTTTGTTTATTGTTGTTATTAAATTTACGCGCCTTTTTTGCGATACTATTTTTGGTTAATGAACTTATAAAATCAACATTTATCGTGCTAGATTTGTCTTTGTTTTTGACTCGGTAGACATCTTTTATTTCTGATAAATTCAAGTTATGCCCAATCACAGCAGCTGTCTTCTCCACAATAGCACAAAGGTCCTCATTACTCTCTCCAAGGTTTTGAGGTACGTTTCTTATCTCTATTTTAGTGAAGTACAGTTGACGCTCCATAAATTCCACTTTCTCCTCTAATTCACGCATATTATAACGACGGTTCGACGGTCGTTCTTTTGTTCAGTCTCCATATTTGTGAATTTAATTTTAATGTCATCATATTCTTTTGATATAAAGTTGATTTGATCTCGGCATTTTGAGCAATAATTTCTGAGATTGCTATTTGTAATGCTGAAAACTTGCTTTCCGATTGAGCTGTAGATGTCGATAACAAGGCGCGTATTTCATCCAAACGAGACATGTAATCACACTCTTCGCGTTTACGTTTTAGACGAGTATTAATATTGGCCTCTTGTCCAACAGTAGTCAGATCAGGGAAGGATCCAGTTTGCCGATACCGTAGAGAGCAGGAGGCAACAGTGGCGCTTTCACTTTGTTCCGCAACAGGCGTACTTGAAGGTGTGCGTTTCAGCGGCATAATTAATAGCAGTAAATTACCTTGTGTGATATATTCCGTCCAACAAAACAGACTGCCACCCGCTGTCGCTTATAAATCGTGGCAAGCCACACGCCCGGTGACGTTTCCGTAAGTACGGTGTGCGCCTGCGCGGCGACCGCAGGGATGCCGTCTGAGGTGTTGTTGTCCTGCTCCTGCACCGACCCAATGCATTGATCACTCTTGAATTATGCGCGCCTAGTACTTTATGATTTTAATTACGCTTACAATTTATCTTATTTATTAAATTTTGCACAATTTTCAACAAAGTGAACACGTATGTTCGCTTTCGCGATCCGGAGGGAAGGAATCTCGAATATTTCTTACTACGTGTGCTGCTCAGCTGAGTCTACTCGATGATTTCCCTTGGTTTTTTGTTGATTTAAAAGCATATTGCTGACGTCAATGAACCACTTTCGAAATGGGGCTGTTTACGTCTGTGAAATTCGTAAGTGTCCGTTTTAGTCTAAATAGTAGTGATGATCTGCAAACACACAATCGCGATTGTCCTTGACAAGGTGAGGTAAGTCGTTAATATATACTAAAAACAGAAAAAGGCCGAGAATAGAACCTTGTGGAACGCCCATTTCTAGCACAGAGCCTGAAGACTGCTCACCATTAATATCAACTTTCTGAATTCTATTATCCAGATATGATGCAAGAAGTTCCAGTGCTTTATTTTTGAAACCATTGTGCTGTTATTTTCTAATCAGCGTTTCGCACACAATCAAAAGCTTTAGATAAATCGCAAAAGATACCTAAAGAATAATGGGCATCTTCCCGGGCATCAAATATATGTTTTACTAGCTCAACACTGGCATCAGTTGTGGAGCGACCCCTTATACAATCAAAATGTCTATAGTGGAATAAATTAGTATTATTAAAAAAACATTGTGATTGAAAATTCATAATTGATTAGCCACAAGAGATATAATTGTCTAAGTAATTAATACAGAATTGCCCCATAGGTCGGTCGTTTTTTAGGGTTCCGTACCTCAAAAAGTAAAAAAGGAACCCTACTTTTTTGTCCGTCTGTCCGTGTGTTACCACCGATTTTGTCAGGAACGGGCAGACCTAGCAAGTTGAAATTTATACCAAATACTAAGATCTAAGGTCCCTATTAGGTGTATAAAAATCAAAGTCCTGTGTCAACACGATGAAAAGATATGGCAAATTTTGATTTTCGCGAAAACTTGTAAGTACCAAAATTTACCTTAATTTTCAACTTTATTTTTTAGAATTTTCTCCTTACTTGTGCTGTAAGACCTTGTTTTTAACTAAAATTTACAATGCTATGTCAACCGTAAGTAAGGTTTTGGGTCGAAAACCTATATGAGAAATTTCGTGATTCTAGGTCAACGGGAACTACCATATAGGTTTGGGGTCGTAAACCCAAAAAAACGTCTTATAGCACACATAAAGGAATAAATCCAAAAAAAAAGTTGAAAATTAAGATAAATTTTGGTACTTACAAATCTACGTAAAATCTGGCTAGGTACGAAACCCTCGGCGCACGGGTTCGACTCGTACCTGACCGGTTTTTTAACATTAATAGTGTTAAAGGCTTTAATAATTTTAGACGGGGAAACATATTGGAACTTAAATTCACCATCAATTCTACTAACATTATCTTCTAAAATTGATTCTGCAATGCATGGTGAGGAGTTTAAAGATTTAGTGGTTAATACAGGAATGTTAGTAAACAAGTCCTTCTTTTTTTGCTTTACATAAATGACCTTCCTGGGCAAATAAACCACCCCGTGTTTCTATTCGCCGATCACAGCACTTATGAAATACTTATGAAAAAGAAATAAATATAACATTAAATTGAACTATTTCATGGTTTGGAAACAAAAATCTAATTATAAATTTAGAAAAGACTAAAATTATGCACATTTATCAAAGGATGCTAAATAAAATCCTTAACATATGCTACTTAGGGACAAAAATAGAATCAAATACTGATACTAAATTTCTTGGTATTATATATAGACAATATTTTGACCTTGAAATCCCAGACAAACGATGTATGTAAAAACTTATTAAAATTTGCTTATGTTCTCTATGAACTATCATAAATAGTGAGCCTAGAATCCGTACTAAAAGCCTATCACGGTTACGTTGCATCAACACTCAGATAGGGCATAATATACTGGGGCAATTCAGTAGATAGAGAACTCGTTTTTAGAGCCCAAGAAAGATGTGTCAGAGCTATGTGTGGTCTTAAAAGCACCGACAGTTGTTGACCGTATTTTATACGCCTAAAAATTCTTACCTTGCCGTCTTTGTACATATACGAAACAAATGTTCGTGAATTCTAACATCTCATCATACAAAATAACAACTAAAATTTACTACAGAAAACTACGCGGTAAAAATAAGTCGGTACTCCAAGTGGCATTTAGCAAACTGCACTAATGAATAAAAGTACCTTCTGTATGGTCACCAAAATATTTAACAAATTACTTATCTGAAAAAATTAAAACGCTAAATCTGGGCAATTTTAAAAAAGAAGTATTAAAATCTTGATAAGTAAATGCTATTACTCACTAAAGGACTATTTGGACGACAATTTATTTAATTATTAGTTGAGGTCTACCAACAATTGTTAACATTTAAACTTATTCTAGTAGCATGCGAAAATACAAAACTTAATGTTACAATTACTTAAAGGTAAACACCGCATTTAAAATATTATAAAAAATACAGACAGTAAGCCATATAATGTAATTCGTAAATGTAGACATTCTTATAATTACAATTTCAGCCAGTTTAATCTATCAATAGATACACTATGTAAAATCAGGTAAGTTCAAAAGTGTTGATTTAACTTTTGCCACAGAGTCAAAGTGAAGATCGATTTTATTGCTATACCCATTAATTGATTTACACAATCTTGAGCATGGAGAGCTGGCACCTCAAATACTTTACAGGCAAACACTACATCATTGAGAAGTCTACGACCTGCTAGGGAACGCATTTGAAAGTATTTAAGCCGACCTTTGTATGAAAGTATTTTCTTAGCCACACCATTCGAAAAAGCAAGGTGCCAAACGAAGCGTTTTTGGATACGTTCAATACGCAGCGAATGAGTGGCGTAATGCGGACGCCAGACTACTCCACAATACTCTAATATACTACGGACAAGGCTGTTGTAAAGTAATATTTTCGTTCTATTATTTCGAAATGCTTTGCAATTTCTTAATACAAAACCCGACATCCTTGAAGCTTTTTTAATAATATTGTCCATATGTGGTACAAACGTCAATTTTCTATCGAATGTTACACCCAAGTCACGAATATGTTCCACTTCATTAATTTTATCATTGTTGATAAAGTAATGACACAATGCTAGGTTGTGTTTTCTTGAAAATTTTAGATGATAACACTTTTTAGAATTAAGGTGCATTCCATTATTGTTGCACCACAGAATGAGTCTATTAATGTCACTTTGCAGAAGCCTAGAATCATCTTCCGACTTTATCAATCTAACGAATTTTAAATCATCTGCGAACATAAACACATCGGAGTGTTGAAAACAGGTTGTGACGTCATTTATAAAATAATTGAAAAGAACTGGTCCTAGATGTGAACCCTGCGGAACGCCCGAAGTAATTCTCTGTAATTCTGATTCAAAGCCATTAACTACAACAAAAAAGTGTCTATCCTGAAGATATGATCTCAACCAATCAAGCAAAGAGCCAGTAATTCCATACGCTCGTAATTTAGAAATTAAAATGCTATGGGAAACTTTATCGAACGCCTTACTAAAATCAGTATAAATCACGTCGGCTTGGTGACCAGTGTCTATGGCGTTACTTAACAATTTGGTAAAAGGAACTAAATTTGATTAAGTGGATCTCCGTTCCACAAACCCATGTTGATGGTCGCTTAAATATACTTTAAAATGATTTTGAATATTAGGATATAATAACGATTCGAAAACTTTGGAAAATGCTGATAATATGGAAATAGGCCTGTAATTAGAGACGGTTGCATTGCAATCCGTTTTATAAATAGGTACCACCTTTGCCACTTTCCATGAAAGATGAGTGAGAGCGCACGTACTAACTCGTTAGAACACGCTACAATAAATATTGGTGAAATACCGTCTGAACCCGCACCTTTAGTGATATCTAGAGTCTGTAGCTTTCTTAAAATTGTTTCGTCATCCAAAACTGGTTTATTTAAACATGTGCTATAGCTTTCCAGTGATTGTAAGTATTCGGAATTGTTGTTTTAATAAGGATTATGGTCGGAACTGTAAACGGAAGAAAAGTAATTGGCAAAGAGCTTGCATACTTCGGTACCATTTGAAGTGGTTTTAACCCCATCAGTCATAGTTACTGGGTATGCGCTTGTCCCTGCTCTTTTAGTCTTTACATGAGTCCAAAACAGTCTCGGATTATTCCTCAGTTCCTCCTCTAAAACGTTAATATACTTTTTATAACATGCACTGGACAACCTATCACATTGTTTGGCAAGATCTTTTAAATATATAGCATCTAGTGGATTTTGATACTTTTTATATCGAATTCTAAGATTGTTTTTTAAACGCAGTTTTTTAATTAGTCTATTGTTAAACCAAGTG